GCTTTCCTCCTTTCTTGGGCTACTTCCAGTGTCTCAGCAGACAACCATTTTGCCTTCTTGGTTTTCTTTTTCTTTGGGACGTACTTTGTTGCCGCCTCCTGAACAATGTCGCGGACTTCTGTCCATAGTTCTTCTGGGACTCTGTTTACTAAATCTAGTCCTTCAAATCTGTTCTTCACTTCCACTGTATATTCGCTAGGAATGTTAGTGAGATCATAGCTAACTGGTCTGTGTATTTTCCCTGATCTCTTTAGTTTTATTCTAAATTGGGTAATAAGAAGTTCGTGATCTGAGCTACAGTCAGCCCCAGGTCTTGTTTTCACCGACTGGATGGATGTCCGCCACCTTTGGCTGCAAAGGATGTAGTCAATCTGATTTCGGTGTTGACCGTCTGGTGAGGTCCATGTGTAAAGCCGTCTTTTAGGCTGTTGGAAGAGAGTATTCGTTATACACAGCGAGTTTTCCTGGCAAAATTCTATCAGCCTGCGTCCCGCTTCATTTTGTTCTCCCAGACCATGCTTGCCTGTGATCCCTGTTGTCATTTGACTTCCCACCTTGGCATTCCAGTCTCCTGTAATGAATTTTAATCCAACACTATACCCACAACACTACAATACCTGTTCACACGAATCTACAATACCTTGGCATAATTTTACTTAAATGTCTTCAAAACATTTCCCAGATAGCCCTAACTGCACTTTTTTCAACAAAACTATAATGTTTTCAATTTCTGTAATTCCATACATTATAGTGTTAATGATATAAGAAAACACACAATTGTCATTCCTTAATTATGAATGATACTATGCAAGCAGATGCTGGTTTTCTGAATTCCAATCCAGGGCGCAAACAAATCACAACATCCTAAAGCAAATCGATCATTTTTTCACCAGTTCAAAAAATATGAAAGGAAACATTGATGCAGTACTATGACTGTGAAGCAGGAATATACAACATCCTCTGCATATTGCATGGTATGAGAGCTCAAGACACCAACGGCATGGTATGACTTCTTCACTTAGTCAGAACTGGGGAATCTTTGTTGCCAAAGTATAGATTCAGTCTTTAGTTCTTCCCGAAAGCCTGTGGTCCTTGGTCAAGTCCTTGAAAACATTTCTGGATAGCTAGTAATAATGATGCCATGTGCAGTTACTTGCACTGTGGAAAGTCCAAGCTTGTTTGGCTAGCGGTAACTACCAGTAAGTGAAGGGAAAGGAGATATATACAATTTAAGTAAGCACAGCCATTCTTGCATCCATTAAAGAGAGAGATTTTTTTCTAAACAATCCGAACTATTAATGTGCAAAAGTTTTACATCCCTCCGTGGCCTATATAGAAATAGCAAGAACACAAATCTATTACAGTTCTTATTTCTTCAAAAGAGTTAACATTTACTTAAGGCGTGAAACATCTCATGGACAGATGAATGAACATGCACCCTTGAAAAATTAGGGGGAAACATTTAAACTAAAGGCACTGGCAGATGACTTGGGAATTGTACTAGAAAACCCTTTGGAGAATGTAGAAACTCTTCAAGAGACGTTAGAAGAATTTGAATTGGCTGGATTTCAGATTAATAAACAAAGACAGAGTTAACAAAACTATAAGAAAAGAAGATCATGGACATATCCCAAGAAGGGAGAGAATAATGGAGGTGAACAGCTGGCTCTACAGATGGCGCTGCCAGGAACAGAGAAGAAGAATGGAGGTAAACAACTGACTCCACAGATGGTTCTACCAGGAATGATTTGGCTTCTTGAACCATGGTCTGTGGTTTCATGAAGATGGACTTCTGGCAAACGATGTGTTGTACTTCAAAGCACTTGGCAGGAACGTTTTTGCTGAGATGATCACAATCCTGATCAGGAAGACTGAGCTAAGTGGGGCAGAAAGACAGTATTCTTAAGGGCAGAAGTTCATGAAATGTTAGAAGTAATACCCTAAATTTTATCAAGAAAACTGGGTGAATAGAGCAAGTACCCAATAGTAGGAAGAAAGCCCTTAAATAAGCAACTCGGGAAATGATCTTAGATGTGTCTGTACTAATGCACAGAGCATGGAAAATAACAAATGAATTTACTCTTAACACAGCAAAGCAATGTGATATAATAGACATCACTGAAACCTGGTGGGATCGGCCTCTTGATTGCAATGTAATTATAGAGAGGTATACTTTATTCAGATAAATAGACCAAGTAGTAAAAGAGGAATAGCAGTATTATATGGCAAGGATGCAGTGCAGCAAACAACATGGGGCACCCGTTACATTTTGCTTTTTATATAAAAATATAGTGGCATCTGGCAGGTTCTTGTTTGGCTAAGAAAGATGTTCCTACCAAGAGATAGCAAAGAATTTGTAAAAACCAAGAGAGAAGTTAAAGAAGAAAAGCCAAAATTGGGAGCCAAAATTGGGAGCTCCATATTAAACTAGAGGACACAACAACGGATATCCATTTTAACTCAGATATTAGGTATTGTTGGTGAAACCAAATAATGTACTGTGATCAGCTGCTGCCATCATCAGGTTACTCTGGGGAAAAACAACCTTCATTCAGTGTTTTAAGAAACAGAACTGGAAATTAATATGCAGAAGTTACGTTGCCCTGTGTCATTCACAGGGGTTCCTTATCTTTAATTTGCAACCAGTTCATATTTTCCCACAGCTTCTTCCTTATTTTTCCACCAGGAAAAAAGGTATGTTACATAAAGATGGAACAGGAATTATGCCTTTTCATTGGTAGCACCAGAAGGCACTTGTGAAGCACCCTGCGAGTCTGAGAATACTTATTTTCTGGACTAGTGGCTTCATGAATTCCACAAGCATCATTGCTATCGTGAAAAATGGCAATGCATATCATTCTGTCATTATGATAAAACTAACCATTGCTAATTATATGTGTCAAATTGTTCTTAAATGTTGTTAATTATTTAATTCCATTTTAATGTTTTATATGTTTTAATGTGTAAGCTGCCTTGGGGCCACTTTCAGGAAAATGTGGGTAATACAACCAACAACAAAGTGTCCTGTGTTAGGTATAACTTTGTGAGGCTTGCCAATGATTCCACAGAAGTTTATTATTTCTACCTCCAAATCTCCATGACAACATTGCTCAACAAGCTTTCTTGAAATGCTCAAAGCACAACTGATAGCACAGAACGTCCTAGGATGAAAACTAATGTAGTCTACGTCTCGCTGATGTACCCACCTGAGGCTTTAGACTTTATAGCCGACTATAAACAAGACTGTTGTGTTTATGAGTGAAAACAGACCTGCTCTTTCTGGGTGGAAGTAAACCTAGCTTTGAGTAACTGTTAAAATTAATTTCTTTCCATCACTTGCCACAGAGATGAAAAATCAAATCCTTCATATTACTCACAGCAGTGCTGACCAGCGACTTATTGGTTTGCTCATTGATTTCCTGTTAATTTAATTGCTTTTCTGGATTTTTTAAAAATTAGAGGTTTGATCAAAAATGGTTGAATACCTGAATAATTCCTAAAAATCCTTTTAAAATTATTTTAAACGTGATGAGAAGATATTACTCATTATACCAATAAAAGTTTTTCTTCTTGTTAATTTTGCTTTTGAAATATTAGTTACAACTCTGTTAGAAAAATAATAGAATGAGGCAGGAAGCAGCCATGCCTTGAAGCTGTAAGGCTATTGAATTCTAATCAAGATAATCAGTTGCAGCTTTGACCCTTGCCTCAAACAGACAAGAGTTCTTTCTCCCACCCTGAACATTTGACAGATATATAAACCCCACTTGCCTAGTTTCCAACAGACCTCACAACCTCTGAGGATGCCTGCCACAGATGTGGGCGAAACTTCAGGAGAGAATGCTTCTGGAACATGGCCATACAGTCCGGAAAACTCACAGCAACCCAGTGATTCCAGCCATGAAAGCCTTCGACAACACAATATATTGTTGATCATTTGTTACATCAAATACAGTAATAGTGAGTAATGTTTTTAAAAATGTCATCAAAAATCTTGTTACAGTTATGTTACTTGTAATTTCTGTGCTCTGGGTCTACAGTATATGGGAAATTACAAGTTACCAAAGGAATGCAAGAATGGTCCCTCACGTGGGGAAGTGATTAGAATCTGCTCAGCTTTTCTTCTACCTCCTGATTTTCCCTGCATATTTCTTTAAGCATCCTTTCCTATCTTCCTCTACCAGTTTCGCCAATTCCTGTATTTCTGCAGACAGAACTGTTTCATGAGTTTGCTAAGATTATATCTTTTGCATAAAGCAATATCAGAGATCCAAATCACATTTGAGAAAGACAATGGGATTGTTGATGTTTTATATTTCTGTTTTCCTCTGTGCATTTTTTTCCTTTCTGTCACAATTTTTATCAGTCTCTGATGAAATTTACAAGGGACCATAACCGCCAGACACAGAAATAGACAAGTGATCTCTAAAACACAGATCTTGATCCTGACCTTTTTGCTAGAAATGCCAGAAACTGAATTTAGGAACTTTGTGTACAAAACACACATTCTTCTAGAGGTGTGGCCTTGTTTCAATATACTTTTTAAAAATCCAGGCCTCAGTGGAAAAGTGAGTAGGAAAAGTGGGATTTTAACCCATAATCTCAAGTGGGGTGTGTGTGTGTCAGGAGCGACTTGAGAAACTGCAAGTCGCTTCTGGCGTGAGAGAATTGGCCATCTGCAAGGACATTGCTCAGGGGACGCTGGGATGTTTGATGTTTTACCATCCTTGTGGGAAGCTTCTCTCGTATCCCCTGTAGAGCTGGAGCTGACAGGGGGAGCTCAACCTGCTTTACCCAGATTTGAACCGCTGACCTATTGGTCAGCAGTCCTGCTGGCACAAGAGTTTACTCATTGCGCCATGATATGATATTAATGCCAAGATGGTAGAGGGGACACTCATGATGTAAGGAAGCTCTTTTGGCCAAGCTGGAAAAGAAACTTTGAAACGTTTTAATGCCAAGATAGATAGATAGACAGACAGACAGACAGAAAACAAGACTTTAGGACTGAAAATATACAATTTAAACCTCATTTTATGGCCTTTAATACACCAATAATCTTCTTATTGGTAAGAGTTATAAGCATCTTATTAATGCCATCTGAGTTTAAAAAGCAAAATTAGGGATAATAGTGAACAAAAGTGGGATGCTGCATTTGCTCTACATAGGAGCATCCTCTAGTTGGTCAGACTTTGGAAAACAAATGTAACATTTTCTTTTATTCTTTCCAGAAAGGGATCAGGAAGATTTCCATGGTCCATGGAGAAGTGTTTCCACTGCATCAACTGTGACATAGATATAGTTTTTTTGGAAACAGATTTCATATTGGTTTGAGGAAGCTGGCAATCCTGTTGTATGGAAAGATTCTTGGAAGCACCTGCAATAAATAAATAGGAAAAATGAAATGCTGGTGAGGAACATAAATAGCCAAAAATCAATATTTTGGACAAATAATAATGTGAACATTTAGAAGGAAAGAGATGAAAGATTAAAGAAGGAATTTCCCCCTGTGTGCTAGCTACCCATGGGTAATAACGGATGAAAAGTATATATGTAGCTATTCATTTCCCAGAATAGCAGATTTCCTAATGCTCAAGAAACTTCTATAAGAGAGCAGAGGTGAAGATTTTTCATACTTTGAACAGTCCTTTGCTTGATCAGGAACTATTTTACAGAAACGTGCTTGCTTTTTCCTGTAAGTAAAGGTAAAGGTTTCCCCTGAAATTTAGTCCAGTCGTGTCTAACTCTGGGAGGTGGTGCTCATCTCCATTTCTAAGCTGAAGAACTGGTGTTGTCCATAGACACCGTCAAAATCATGTGGCCAGCATGACTGCATGGAGTGCCATTATCTTCCCATGGAAGAGGTACCTATTAAGCTACTTACATTTGCATGTTTTCGAACTGCTAGAAGCTGGGCCTAACAGCGGGGGCTCACCCCGCTCCCCGAATTCGAACTACCAACCTTTTGGTCAGCAATTTCAGCAGCTCAATGGTTTAACCCACTGTGCCACCAGGGGGGCTTGCTTTTTCCTGTACTTTGGGAAAAAAACAAGCGCTTTGCATAGAAAAAATATTATCTGAGGGAGTCCATTTTAAGAACAGCTTCCTGTTCTAGAAATGTGTCTTTGTGTATAAAAACCACACATATTCCTGCAGAAATGCCCCAAAATATCTCATAAGAATTTTATCTCAAAATTCTAACTAGGGAGGTGTTACATTTCCCTTTATAAGCATTTTAAAAATTTGTTTCTCAATTTTTACATGTTTATTTCTGTTATGCCTTAATTATATTAAGCTATTCAATTGTTTTTTTTTTCATGTCAGGAGCGAACTTGTGAAACTGCAAGTCGCTACTGCTGTGAGAGAATTTGCCGTCTGCAAGGATATTTCCCAGGGGACGCTTGGATGTTTTTGATGTTTTACCATCCTTGTGGGAGGCTTCTCTCATGTCCCTGCATGGAGAGTTGGAGCTGACAGAGGGAGCTCATCCGTGCTCTCCCTGGATTCGAACCTGCGACCTGTTGGTCTTCAGTCCTTCCGGCGCAAGTGTTTAACCCACTGTGCCATCGGGGGCTCCTATATTCAATGGTAAGATACTTGGTGTCCAATTCATGGAAGAAAAGTGTATAAATAACTAGTGGTCAACCAGCTGCCTCCAGGAACCACATGAGCTCGTCCCAATGGCTGCCCTCCTCTCTCACTGTGCCTCCAGCAACTGATGTTCAGTGGCATTTTTCCTCTGAAAGTTGGGATGTGAAGACATAGTCAGCATGACTGGTAGCAGCTAACAGGCTATCAATACATCTTGTATAAAAGACATGTCATGTGAAAAAATACATTACTCTCTGCATTTGCAGGGCTCAGGGGCACACAGTCCCCACAGAAGTGAGAAAAATAAAAATAAATAAAACCACAAAATCTGGTTTTAAAAATCTTAGAATCTCAAGCAATCGTGAAAAGTCAAATCAATGAATGCTTACTTTCAGAAAACTACTATAGAAATTTGCCAAACACAGGTTTTACAAAGGCGAGCTCCTGTATATGTCAAGGGCAGGTTTTGGGGCTAAAATTAGGGATTTTGATATGGCCCGTGGATAAGTTGAGGGTCATTCCCTGGTAGAGGGAGAAACACCAATGCTGCTTCAGGGGGCCATCTACCATTTCCAGTATTCAAAAAGGCTGGAAGTGATGCTTTCAGAAAAGAACAGAACAGGTCAGTGCTTATTTAGGTTTTCTGAGGACCGACTAAGGCCTTGCCTATTGTCACTTTACTTAGAGAAATGATTGTTCCTTCCTGGTAAGAGTTAAGGTGAAGTAAGTCAACCTAGTTCTTTTTGGGTTGATTTTTTTATTTATACACGTATATATGGTAGGTAAAAACAAACATCACAGCCAGATCTCATCATACACGACAGAGAAATCAGGGAAAAGGACAAGGTGCTTACCTTGATCATCTTTCCTTCCCACGCATGTACATTCCAGCAGATCGTGAGTAACGCAGTTGGAATCTTCATGCAGTATAAAGAGGTTTCTAAGTTCTTCTACTGAAAAACGGATGTGCTCAGATCCCTTTGAAAAGTCAACCACGGCCCCAGAGAGACCTTGCTTACTGATCTGCCTCTGATAGATTTTTTCTTCAATTGTGCCTGCATTGAACAAAGGGCATATGCTAATTCACAGCACCAAACAAAGAGATAAAATAGCAGCCGACAACAAAAATGCTTTCTGACTCTACAAAAGGGCTATACAGTTGTTTTGTATGTTTCAAATTCAAACAGCGATTATAATAAAAATATGGCAAACCTGTAGTTAGCAGTCTGTAAATATGCACCGTGTGCCTCTGTCCATCTCTCCACACTCTGGCCATTGCCTGAAGGAGAATGAGAAGGAAAAGATTATGGGGAAATGTCATTCCGTGCCTTTTCGCGCTACACAGATATAATGCTGTGTTCCACTTTATGTGCCATGACTGCATCCTATGGAACCTGAGATTTGTACTTTGATGAAGCGCTAGAGCTTCATAGCTGAGAAACCCTCAGATTTAAAAGGATGGAATCATGGCAATTAAAGTGGAAAGGACAAGATGTTTACATACACCTTTGGAAGAATATTTTAAAAATCTCATTGCACATGCCAAATTTAATTGGATAAATCAACTAAATTATAATTAAACTATAAAGAACATTTAAAGCAATGTTTCTCAACCTGGGGGTCGGGACCCCTGGGGGGGGTCGCAAGAGGATTTCAGGGGGTTCGCCAAAGACCATTAGAAAACATGTATTTCTGATGGTCTTAGGAACCCCTTTGGTAGAGGTTTAAGATCTCTCCACCTGTCCTTCTCTTCTTTTTTGGAAACAGACGGCGAATCCTCCCACCAAAAGCCCTTCCTCCACTGTGATTGGTCGGCCTCTCAGCCAAGGGGAGGGCTGTTTCTGAAACTCCCAGCGGGGAGGGGAGAGCAGGCATGTTTGGTGCATGGCAGTATAGTGTGCATGTGTGAGTGAGGGAGAGTGTTTGAGGCTGGAGAGAGGCCTGCACCAGTGAGTCTCTTCAAGGCATGGGGTTCTGTGTAGGAAGTCTGGCTCAATTCTATCATTGGAGGGGTTCAGAATGCTCCTTAATTGTAGGTGAACTATCAATCTCAGAAACTACCACTCCCAATTGCCAAGGTCTATTTTCCCCAAACTCCACCACTGTTCACATTTGGCCATATTGAGTATTCATGCCAAGTTTGGTCCAGATCTATCACTGTTTCAGTCCACAGTGCTCTCTGGAGGTAGGTGAACTATAACTCCAAAACTCAATATCAATGCCCACCAAACCCTTCCAGTATTTTCTGTTGGCCATGGGAGTTCTGTGTGCCAAGTTGGGTTCAATTCCATTCTTGATGGAGTTCAGAATGTTCTTTGATTGTAAGTTAACTATAAATCTCAGCAACTACCACTCCCAAATAACAAAACCAATCCCTCCCCAACCCCACCAGTATTCCAATTCGGGAGTATCAGGTATTTGTGCCAAATGTGGTCCAGTGAATGAAAATACATCCTGGATATCAGATAATGACATTAAAATTCATAACAAGAGGAAAATTATAGTTATGAAGTAACAACAAAAATAATTTTATGGTTAGGGGTCACCACAACATGAGGAACTGTATTATGGGGTCGTGGCATTAGGAAGGTTGAAAAACGCTGATTTAAAGGATGTAAACAGTTTTTAAATGTGCAATGCCCTGTTAGGGCCCTTTCTTACTAGTTCTTGGATTTCTTAAAATCCTGCCTAGTGGTGTCTCTGCCTGCTAATGTAAAAAGGGTAAGAATTGGACCATTTTAGCCTCTTTGGGAAAGGAACCTTGGAGCAGCCAAGATGGTCTCTACTGAGGATCTCAGGGCTCAGGCAAGCTCATGTGGGGGAATATACATCTTAAAATAGCTAATGACTAATTTCACATACATTCATGATAGGTTCAGCATTCTCAGGGCATATAAAATTATCTGATATGCAAAACTCTGAATAAAAGATCTACATCAACAAAGGGCTGCAAATGCCATTGACTTATTGGGGATTGGAATGGATCATGACCTGTTAGGATCACAACCCACTAGGGTATAGATTATGAACTGTTAGGATCACAACCTAATCGGGGTAGCAGAGCTTATTTGGTAATGGATGATTGCTGGGCATGTAGATATTTTATTTCTATTTGAAGATTTCAGCAGACAATGATGCAAACAAACTTCTTTTAAATATAACAAGTTAGTTTACTGATAACTTCATGTATTTAAAGATACAGGCACATTTCTTGTCAAGGCTTAAAAACTTCAGTTATGTTTCAGAGAGTTTGTATCTTAAACTTACAATCTCTAACTGTTTCTTCATAAACTATATTGCTTTATACAGCTCTCTTTAATAATAGCTTACGTTGAAAGAAAACACAAGCCTCAATAGTTTCAAACTTCCTAACACTGCCTTCTGCACTTTAACAGACTTTTATTCTCAAGCTGACTCAAGGCTCAACATTGACTTCTAACAGGCTCAAGGCTCAACTGACTTCTCTGTCATCCTTTAGAAACTGAACATTCTAAACAGTCACATGACATGCAGCCCCTCCCACTGCTTTAAGAATATAGAAATAAAAAAAAACTGCAAACTACAAATAGACATATACTTGAGGTTATAAAATGGCATTCTAATAAAGCAGACAAACATCACATAGTGGAGGCTTGAGAAGGTTGCTTCCTCCAACATGACTTGTGTTAATAAGGAAACAAACCTGAATATCAGTGGCAGGATTCCAATCGATGTCGTATAAGATTAAATGTGATGCTCCAACAAGGTTCAGACCCACACCGCCGGCCTTTGAACTTAGCAAGAAGATAAAAGCTGGGTGGATTTTGTTATTAAAACTATCAACAATCTGCTGTCTCTGGGAAACAGGAGTGCTGCCGTCAAGTCTTGTATAGGAATATCCATAACGTTTGCATACCTCTTGTAATATATTCAGTGTCTGTGTGTAATTAGACACCACCACAACTCTATGAACCCAAAATACAGCATTAATTACTGGCTAATACAGTTCTAGTTCGTTTAATTAACAAACAATATAGGTATCACAATGTCATGACTCCAATGGGCATCAAGAGATTCATTTGGAATTAAACAAAAGGGGTAAATAAAACTACCACTATTAATACTTCTTTATCATTGTTGGGTTTCCTTCAATTGTCCAAGGAATATGTACTATGCTGTGGTCTGCTGTCAATAAATTCAGGCTGTTGCATGCTCAATGGTTCAATCAAACATCATTTGCTTGGTTAGGGGAGAGCAAGCACAGAAGCTTTGCTTTGCGTTACTTCTACTCAGGAACAGTACTATCGTATACAACATTGTTTCTTTAACTATGGATCCTGACCCCAAATGGGGTCCCCTTTGCTCGATATTGGGGTCACCAAAAAAAATTGGCAAAAGTGAAAGGTTTCTGAATATTATCCATTTACACTAATCAGCTATTAACAGTGTGCAGTGTTTACAATGAACTCTGAAGAAAATCCTTCAGCTATACTTCATAAAAAGAAAATTTAGCCTGTTTACCAAGCCTTGCAAATGAACATTTGTCGTCTACCAATATACCTATTTTAAACCTATTGTATAACCTATATACTAGGAGTCACGTAAAAAATTATTGGGGAAACAAGGATCACAAGAGGAAAATGTATAATAATAATAATAATAATCTTTATTTGTAATCTCCTCTATCTTCCCAAGAGGACTCAGGTTTAAGAAGCCCTAGTATAATATACTCATCTGTAAGTTTTAAAAAAATGACAAAAAATCAACTCAAAAACTCTGGGTTGACTTATTCATTGGTCAGTACTGGAAATGCTCTCTGCTCCCCACCATTTTGGGAAGTTTCACTTGAAGTGAAGCAAAACACCAGTGGTGATTTTTAATTGACAGTCTGTCTGCATGCTTCATAAGACTTGAAGAGAATCCAGTGAGCCCCTATTTTAAAAGGTCACTGCTGCTCCACTCCAAATAAACAGATTGTCTCCTTCACTTTAGCTCTTTCCTCTGTGCATTTTTGAAAGTAGAAGAAACTGTTTATGTGTTACATGCCCCTATGTTGTGTCCTCAATTTATCCTGTGGTGACAGCAAAAATACATACCCCACTCCACACACACACACACCGCAACCTGCTTTTGACTTATAGATGAGGTTAACTTATACACAAGTATATATGGCAAGTAGTTTGCTGGGAATGTATGTGGAACTGACATTAGGTGAGAAGAAGTGACTTAAAACAAAAGATTGAGCTGCTCTGAGAAGCAACACTTTATTGAAATTCTTTCTTACCTTTCTGAAGGACTGAGGTCATGAATTGCTCTTAGCAGCTGCACCAGCACTATCAGTTTCCCAGAGTCAGTCTCAGAAAAAGAAGTCAGGGAATATTCTTGAGAAAAGACATCCAGCAACCCTTCATAGGGATTCTGTTTCTCTTGCCGATCACTAGTAGAATCACATTCTTTCTCCTATAAAGAAAAATCCAATCCACACAAACATCAAAGATCACAAATAAACATAAGGTAGGATAGCAGTGTGCTGCTGCAACAAAAATTGGGGTATGCTATTTTCATCCATATTTATAGAAGCACAGTTTCTAGTTCTGGGGAATAACTAAAAAGTTAAAGGTTTTCCCTTGACATTAAGTTTAGTCGTGTCTGACTTTGGGGGGTTGTGCTCATCTCCATTTCTAAGCCAAAGAGCCAGCGTTGTCCGTAGACACCTCCAAAGTCATGTGGCTGGCATGACTGCATGGAGCATCATTACCTTCCCGCTGGAGTGGTTCCTATTGATCTACTCACATTTGCATGTTTTCGAACTGCTAGGTTGGCAGAAGCTGGGGCTAACAGCAGGAGCTCACCCCACTCCCTGGATTCAAACCTGCAACCTGCAGTTTAGTGGTTTAACCCACTGTGTCACCAGGGGGCACAAGTTAAAACTGTTAGTTATGTTCTTGAATACAAGCAAAAATAGGCAGAGCTAGAGCCAAAATGGGTGGTATTTGCAGAGTGAGTGAGTTTTGAACATAGGACAATTGAACTAGACTGGAATCCCCTATTTGGGCAAAGTCATGGAACGTGTGGTGACAACACAACTCCAGGGGTTTCTGGTAGACACTGATTATCTTGATCCGGCACAGTCTGGCTTTAGGCCGGGACATGGAACTGAGACAGCCTTGGTCGCCTTGGTAGATGATCTCCGCAGGGCGTGACAGGGGGAGTGTGTCCCTGTTGGTTCTGCTGGACCTCTCAGCGGCCTTCGATACCGTCGATCACGGTATCCTTCTGGGCCGCCTCATGGATATGGGGCTCGGAGGCACTGCTTTGCGGTGGCTTCGATCCTTCCTTGAGGGACGGACCCAGAAGGTGTTACTGGGTGACACCTGTTCGGCCCCACAACCGTTGTTGTGTGGAGTCCCACAGGGTTCAATCTTGTCCCCGATGTTATTTAACATCTACATGAAGCCGCTGGGGGAGATCATTCGGAGTTTCGGAATGAGATGTTATCTCTATGCAGATGATGTCCAAATCTGTCACTCCTTTCCACCTGTCACCAAGGAGGCTGTCCAGACCTTGAACCGGTGCTTGGCTGCTGTGTCGGACTGGATGAGAGCTAACAAATTGAAATTGAATCCAGACAAGACAGAGGTCCTACTGGTCAGTCGTAAGGCCGAACAGGGCATAGGGTTACAGCCTGTGTTAGACGGGGTTACACTCCCCCTGAAGACGCAGGTTCGCAGCTTGGGAGTGATCCTGGACTCATCGCTGAGCCTGGAACCCCAGGTTTCAGCGGTGGCCGGGAGAGCTTTTGCACAATTAAAACTTGTGCGCCAGCTGCGCCCGTACCTTGGGAAGTCGGATCTGGCCACGGTGGTCCACGCTCTTGTCACATCCCGGCTAGATTACTGCAACGCACTCTACGTGGGGTTGCCTTTGAAGACTGCTCGGAAACTCCAACTAGTCCAGCGAGAAGCAGCCAGATTGCTCACCGGAGCGGCGTACAGGGAGCATACCACCCCCCTGTTGCGTCAGCTCCACTGGCTGCCGATCCAAGTCCGAGCACAATTTAAAGTGCTGGTTTTGACCTATAAAACCCTATACGGTTCCGGCCCAGTGTACTTGTCCGAACGGATCTCCCTCTACGTCCCACCTCGAAGTTTAAGATCTTCTGGGGAGGCCCTGCTCTCGACCCCGCCAGTGTCACAAGTGAGGCTGGCGGGGACGAGGAGCAGGGCCTTCTCAGTGGCGGCCCCCCGCCTGTGGAACTCGCTCCCCGGGGAGATCAGATCGGCGACTTCCCTCCTAGCATTTAGAAAAAAATTAAAGACCTGGATGTGGGACCAAGCTTTTGGTCACTCTGATAACTAAATCAAGGACCTGGTGATAGACGAGGACAAACGGAGTAGAACGGATGTATGGACTCTGATATATGGACTCTGACATGAGATTGTTTTAGGATTTGTGATTGTATTATGTATTGTTGTTTTAATTTAACTGCTGAATTTTATATGCTTTGGATTACTTGTTGTTGTGATTTGGGCATCTAATTGTGCCCTTCATGTAAGCCGCCCTGAGTCCCTCTCGGGGTGAGAAGGGCGGGGTATAAGTGAATGAAATAATAATAATAATAATAATAATAATCCATAGAAATTCAAGTAGTGCAACCCTCCTATGAGAGCCATGAGAGTCATGTAGTGGTTTGAATATTGGCCTAGGATTCTGGAAACCAGGGTTGATTCCCAACTTGACTATGGAAAACCACTGCATCACCTATATTCTGCACTGCTCTGGCCTCATCTACAACACTGCATTAAGTTCCGGGCACCTTATTTTAAGACTGACATAGAGAGCTGGAGCAAAGACAGAGAAGACCAAGGAATGGGCAATTGTTTTTGTGATTTTAATTTCTTAATTTCTTTCTGTGCTTTTCATAATGGAAACTGTGTTCCAATTGTCATTTTGATCACGATTGTCATTTTTAATTATTTTTGTTGAATTGTCATTGTTATAAGCTGCTCTTTGAACAAGCCAATCATGGAAATATATTGATTTTATCTTAAATCATAATTTGTAGGAATGTACACTTGAAATACCTCTCCCATTTTAGATTTTCCCCTCAATTGTCTAAGAACCTATGTTTAACCAAAAAAGAAGATACAAACCTTTATGGCTTTGAAAATAAGACAGGGGTGGTTGCACAGTTTTTTTAAAGCCCCGATGCATATTAAGTGCGGGCTGTTTTCCAGACTGCCTTGTAAACAATATCTCACAACCTGAGAACACAGCAGTTTTCGGTAGAGATCCAGCTGCAATGCTGTTGGACGGCAGAAAACTATGCTCTCCTTTTTAGGAGGGAGGAATTTGTTTATGACTTCATGGGTCCTTCTAAGAATGAAGAATCCTGTTAAGCGTGTGAGTTCTGCTGCCCTTCGCTCTCCCAATTCAATTTCCTCCTAAGAAAGTGAAATACATGGTGAAAGCATGTGATCTTTCAGGTTCTTGCTCCAAGTCTACATCGATTTTAGCTTGTCCCACTTCCTCCAGAAGTCTCATGGAGTTTCATTCCTTTGCTCCAAGCCAGGTATGTGCAAACTTTGGCTCTCCAGGTGTTGGCTGTTAGGAATTGTGGAAGTTAAAAGTCCAAAACACCTGGAGGGCCAAAGTTTGCCCATGCCTGTCCTAAGCATCTCCCTTCTATCTCTGAAGCATTTCAGTTCCTGATGGGTATGTATCCTTCTAGCCTTGATCACCACTTCCTTCTTCAATATTTGGATAGAAGATAAGAAAGGATCAACGACAACAATAATAACAACTCTTTCCAACACCATAATCCTAGAATATTTACTCAACAGAAATTTCCCACTAAGTTTAATTTCTCAAATTGTATTTCCTTAGGGAGGGAGAGGGGGAAGGAACTGTGGAGCCTCTCAGTATGCTTCATGGAGCCCCAAGAGCTCCGCAGAGCACACTTTGAGAACTGCTGGGCTAGCTCTATCAGACGAACAGCAGGCAGTGCTGTAGCATAACACAGCCAGGAACACAGGAAAAACATTTCATCTAACACTGGGTAGATAACTTCAGAAATGTATGTGGTCCAGTGTTGACTTCCCCTGGATTCACTGTGATTCACACCTTCTACTCCAAATTTTGGCAGCAAATAGGGGAAAAAATCCATAAAACAAGATGAACACTTAATTTTTAGAGAGGTCTTAAGGTGCATACGTGGACCAAAAATCACATTTGGCCTACCCCAGTCAAATGCTTCTGACCTTAATCCCTCTTCCACCACATTAGTTTGTATTTTGGAAGGATTCGGGAACAATCTATCATTTTAATTCCTAAAAAAAAAAAACCCTATACAACAGGATGGTAAAGAGAACTCACAGAACTGGGACCTGTGAAAGCTAACATGATCTTGCTGAATTTTAAGCAGAAATACAGTCCATGGATGCAGACTTAATTAATGACACTTCCATGCTTCCTGTGGGATTCAGATGCCACATACACAAACAATGCAAAAATAAAATAATTTTTCTCTCTGCATAATCTCATTCAAAATAGATTGCTCCCCCTCCCCCAAGTATACAAGAAGCATTTTAAGGCTCCTTAATTTTAGGCAGCTAGTTCTAATCAGGTTTCAGATTTTAAAAGTGACAGACCTTAGTAGCTGAAGGCTCTCGGGATCTGATAATAGGTTCCTCAAATACTTTTTTGTATGAAGATAATGAACCAAGTATTCCAGGATTTACATACTCTATTAACGTATAAAATTCTTGCAGATCATTTTGTACTGGTGTACCTTGGAAAATAAAAGAAAATTCTATATGAATTTGCTTCCGAGAAAAGGCCCTTTATCAAGAATTACATTTTATTCTACAGAAAAATAAAAGATGCACCCAACAATTCTATTTTTTTTTTATTAGCATTACTGTGAAAGGTTTGGGGTGGTTTTGAATTACAGTTCTCATAATTCCCCAGCTAGAATCCTGACTAGGAAATCCTGAAAATTGTAGCCCCAAAAGGGAATTTCCTTGCTTTAGATAAAATGCTTAATTGAAGCAAACATTTATTTTAATTACATTTACTCACCAGTCAGGATGATTTTCTTCTCACAAGACAGGCTGACGAGGGCATTGTTTGTCTTAATCGCACTGTTTTTCAAGCGATGCCCCTCATCACAGATGATCAGACTGAAGTCTGTCTTCTGAATTTGGTCCAAAGACCGTAAAAGCATCTCATAACTAATGACCAGGACAGAATAAAGAGGCGAGTTGATGAACTCTTCCACTTTGTGATCCTGCATATTGTACAGAATTATAATACTTTTGAGGACAGACAGGGAACAAAAATGCACATCACTGTAAATGTTTATTGACCTAATCAACACACTGTTCATTTTTGGAAACTACCTCCCCAAGATGGAGTGATAGCTACTAGCTAAGTTTTTAAAAGTGATTGGGAATGTGAAAGGCTGTTGCACCCCAACCAGAATTCATCTTGCACTCAACACCAGCCAGGAATCCAAAAGTAGTTGTAAGACAGTTTACTGAGAAAAATACATATAAAAAGAAAAAGGCAAAGGCAAAATCCAATAGATAATGGGAAAAATAGTCAACAAGTCATAAGCCAAACCAGACTGGCAATAGGAAAAAAACACTTCAAAGGTGGTAATTCAAACAGTCCAAATCTGTTCCATAAAACAAGGTACAGGAAAACCAGAATCAAAAGATGAGCATTTAACCAGGAAAACAAGAATCAAAACATAAACATAATTTAAACATAAGCAAGACTATAGAACCTTTTTAAAACATGAATCCAAACTCCCAAGATCTTACTCAAAATATGACCTGGAAACAAGAGCCTCACTGCTTTGCAGCATTGCCTGATCTGAATTCTAAAGGAAACAATTCTCTGATTTGAGTCCACAAGCCATGAAGTCATGCCTGTGACCTTGACTGCCTTGCCTGTGGGATTTCTCACACTGCTGTCTCTCATGGAGTTTCTGTGACTTCTTAATTTGCTTGCTTCTTCCCTAAGATGAAGTCTGAGATTTCTGCTGACTGCAGGTGTGTTTTCAGGCAAACTTTCTCGCCCATCCAACTCTTTATCTGGGGATGCTATGAGACGACTAGGCGAAAAGTCTTTGTCAGCCGGTGCATTTCCCTGTCTGCTGGATTCTGAGGCAGTTTCACTTTCAAGCCCGTTCTCACAGACAGGATCTAAACTCACCTCATTTCCCTCATTGATAAACCCATCCACTCTCTCAGGCCCTCGAATAACAATCCCCTTATCATCATCAGCTGGCTGAACTACAACTAAGACTTCTTAAGGATAAATAGGTCTTTATCAGATTTTTAAAAAATTATTGTGGAATAGCAACTCCCCCCCCCCCCCCCAATCATATTTGCTGTTCTTCGATCCTTCCCTGATATATACTTCATTTTTTCTGGTATTTTCTAGTTTTTCTCTTGCACACCTCATGAAAATTTTCACTTGTCTCTCCATTACTTCTACCCAACCCACAGCACCAACACCTTTATCATGGTGAATGCCTTCTGACTTCGCTGCCTTTTTTCTTCTTTGCCGGAATTACACTAAAGTAGCACTGTCATGTCCACATAGTGTTAGAACACTGCTATATTATAGTTGGGGAGAAAGAAAAAGAGAAATAAGGTAATTTTGGTCTGTGGGTATGCATGGTGGATGGACACCTTCCAGTTTCCTTACTCTTTTTTTCTTGGGATGATTGTTTGAGTAAGAACAGCTGACCTATTTTAACGATGCTTTCAAAAATGATGGAAATTTTTAGAGCTGAAAAAGTATGATTTTATAGGAGGGGAAATGGTGACAAAATGGTGATTTCATACAAAAACATTCCTTGGCTCTCAACAAAAAATGTGTCAATTTCAGATTGAAACTCCTGTCTGAAAAGCTTCTTGTCAACTAATGGTGACCTGATGCCTTGGTGCTCCTTCCAAGATCATTTTTGAATTTTAAGGATGGAAAAGAACAGTGAAAGGCAGTCCTGTTTGTGGGTTACTCAGGGGTGAGACACAGGAATCCCATAGCCCTATTTTGCTGAACTGAAGCTCATTATTCCTCAGTCCTATGTTGGATATGATGATGAAAACTGCATTCCAACAATATCTAGACAACCATCTCAAAGGTATCTTCTTAGAAAATATGGGAATGAGGATGTTGGACTAGACAGGCATTTGGTATGTGCACCAATAAATATTTCTCTTATTCTCTCTCCCACAGACTCTCTCCATAATGTAATCACAAAAATTGTACTTGTTCTAACTGCAGAACAGCTCAATGCAGGAGGAGGGCACTATTGTGCTCCATTTCTCAGACCATTCAACACTAGCTATTAAGAGATCGCAAACAGTGAAATGAAAATGGGAGGATTGATCACAGGAAATGTGCCATCACCGTGCCACTTCTGCTGTGAAGGAACAAAGAAAGATAAACGGCTCTGTTTTTTCATATTCATAATTGTTGAGCCTTTCATTTCAGGTTCTGGAGTTGTTCAACTTCACTACCAATATGCCACAATATACAATATTAACTGTAGATTATATCATCCCACATGATGATGCAGGAAAAAAAACCAATTGTAATGGCAATAAGAAAAATAGTTCAAACAATATGTAATTCAAACATCAACATAAGGTGTGCCTACACTGTAGAATTAATGCAGTTTGGCACCATTTTGATCACCATGGCCCAATGCTATGGAATCATGAGAGTTGTAGACACACACACACACAGCAGATATATATATATCTATCTGCAATGAAAACAATTCTCAAACTTCCGAAGTTCACAGCAGAAAAAATAGAAATAAATACTTAGGGACTACTTAAAATAGTAATAGAGGGCAGTTAAATGCTATTTCTCACCTGATCAACCAAGAACACCTTGATTCTTTCATTACCCAACCATTTCTGGAATTCCTTCCCCCAGTTCTTCACCAGGCTCCCAGGGGTGACTATTAATGCCTGTTTTAATATAGGTTTGCATCCATACGGTCCTTGACGCAGGAGAGTCCAGATGAGAGAAATGCACTGCAGGGTTTTTCCTAAACCCATTTCATCTGCAAGAATAGCTCCAAATCTACTGCTGACTCTGGGAGGAAAAGATAATTATATTGTTCACACGTCTTAGAAGAAACCTTGATAATTATCTGCTCACTAGTCTTAGCAAATCAGTATTTTTACACTATATACATCCATTGCAAAATATTAAATTTTAAGATGACTCACTCCTGTCTGCCTTACTGACAGTGTTGTCCCAGGAGCTATTGGATGACATGTCCTTGAGGCCCTGTGCAGTTGATGACTTAAGCAACAAACCAGCATTAGCAAAAGTCATGGTTTACTGTGATATGCATATGTATCCACTATATTAATCCGCATTCTCATGTTTTGCTCCTTACTTGTAAAATTACTAACAAAGGTACTAACCCCGTCCACTCACTCACCAGTTATTCAATACAATTTTGATTCCATTTGTTTCTATAGAAGACGGATAAACAATTAAAATTTGGATTAATACAATCATCCCGTCTCTGGAACACCCTTCCAAGGGAAATAAGACAGGCCCCATCCCTCCCCTCCTTTCATAAGAGCTTGAAGACCTGGTGGTTTCAACAAGCCTTTGAAAATGACCAGTTCTAACTCAGCTCCACACATTGTCTAATACAGCCTTATTCTTCCTACCAGTTACCCAGATTCTTTCCTATAATCGGCCCCGGAATGAACAGCCACAGACCCGTACCTAATATTATTGTTGCCTGCCATAGCATTGCATTTCATTCCCGGGGGCCCTAGAATTTTTGGGCTTGCACAAATCTTGGCCCATTTTTAATTGCCTTGAACAGGCAGGATTACTTTTAATACATGTGTGTTATGGCAACAATTTTTATGCTTATATTTTGTTTGTTAATCTTATGGTTATGTTGTTTTTACTCTGTATGTTTTGTGATGTTACTTGGGAACCGCTCTGAGTCCCCTCAGGGAGATGGAGCGGTATATAAATAAAGTATTATTATTATCTTTGATTACAGTTGACCACTGTCTTAAATGTCTCCATGTTAATAATGATGATTGAAAAGTATCCGTCCCTCTCTATTTTTTAACTAAAGATCTCTAAGAATAGTAAATGAACCACAATCTACTAAACCTCTATGCACAATTAGAAAAGTTGAGCCTATTTCCTTAATGTTGCCGTTGTGTCTTTAAGTCTTCCAACTTACAATCACCTTAAAGTGAACCCTATCATAAGGTTTTTTGGGGCTGAGAGTGTGGGACTCTCCAAAGGTAATCCAGCATGTTCCCATGGACAAGCAGGCAATGGACCCCTGATCTCCAGAGTCATGGTCTGAGGTCAAAACATGACGCAACACTGGCTCTCTTTACCTTTTGGCTTCCCAAAGTTGACAACCTGATCAATTTCAAAACCAGATGCACCACTTGTATATTCAATCCACTAGTTCAGTGGCTCCCAACCTTTTTTTGACCAGGGACCACGTTGACCAGGGACCACTATCCAAAATTAGTACCGAAAAGGTTACAAATCAGTTTTTGGTCAACTTTAGATTTGGTTTGGTTATTTGGGGTGCTGATTCAGAAAACTGCATTGGATAGACCACATCAGCTCTAGTTTCAGATACAGAACATATGCCATCCAGTAGTAACCATCTGCTCACCCACAGAAAGCCATATTTAATAATCTAGAGCTGATGTGGTAGTAATAATCTTTTGTGGGTAGTCATCCTCACCCCCCTTCTGACATACCCATTACCTCGGCACTATTAGAGGGTTTCGCGAAACCAGTTGCTCTCATTGTCACATGGTTTCGAGGCAACGGAGTAGTAATGGTGAGGCCGCAGACCATATTTTCGTTCTTGCAGACCACTGGTGGTCCACAGACCACAGGTTAGGAACCACTGCACTAGTTGCTATATTTTGGAAGGTAACTATTATGGAATACAATATACCACATTGCCTACCCTTAATCAATGAGTTGAAAATAGAACCTGCTAATAGTTGCTTTAGTCTTAGTGCATCACATTTTTAACTACAGCCAGTCCTCCACATTTGCACATCAGAAACTACAGTATTCCCTTTACTGTTACCTATGTTTATTTGATTCAAATCTAAATCAAATGGGCAGAAAGTTTCTAATTTAAGCAAAAGCTCTCAAGATTCATGAGAATGACTACCCAGGAAAAAAAAACTGGAGAGTGTTTGCTATCCAAATCTGAATCATTATCTCTGTTCTGTTTTTTTCATCATAGCCTAGCAATTTGTGGCTAAAAATCCAAATTAGATTACAGAGATTAATCCAGTAAATTGCATATAACTGTTAGTAACATTTACACAATTCCTTAATTTCAGCCAAGACCTTACTCACGAACTCCCCCATTAATATATAATATGTTGAATGTAACTGAAGTGAGTAAGCTGCTTCTCTGAAGGTCGGATTTGCTGGGGAGAATCCGCTGCATTATTCATTAATAGAAACTTCCTGCTGCAGCTGCTCTGAGTGCAATTCAATAGAATTGTCTGCTGGGGTTACACTGGGGTCAACTGACCAGCTGTTTGTGCCCTCTAGATGAGCTAAAGGTATTTTTAAACTCTCACTAGAAATAGATTTCCAATAAACTAATATTTTTAAAATATTCTTTTAAAACATTTTTAAAGTTTGCTCATAGGTAAAGGAGGGGAAATCTCAGTGGCCTCCAACACAGCTACAGTATCTAAAATTGTCTTTAAGCTCAGGGACTAATGTATTGGTTTACCACTATACTCACTCCAAGGTCACTGCTGAAAATAGCATCTCTATGGCCAGTTGTCTTCTCCTCGGCTGTAACATGTACAACAGAAGTATCCCCAAGGCCCTCCAGATGTTGATAGATCCCAGCTCTCATCCAACATGACCAATCATTATGATAGGAGTCACAGTCCAATAACATCTAGAGGGCCCCAAGTTCCTTCCTAATTACTATAGACTTACAATTCAATGTGATATGAGATGGGCTTAGAATGACAGGAAGAAATTGGTTAACAGCCTAAAACCACCACCCCCCCCCCKAAAAAAACAAACCCAAACAAACAGATGGAACAGATGGAAGTAATGTTAAATAATTTGCTGCAGTGAGATATACATACATACATACATACATACATACATATATATATATTTGTGGAGCCCCCGGTGGTGCAGTGGGTTAAAGCACTGAGCTCCTGAGCTTGTTGATCAAAAGGTCGCAGGTTCAAATCCTGGGAGCAGCGTGAGCTTCCGCTATCAGGCCCAGCTTCTGCAAACCTAGCAGTTTGAAAACATGCAAAAGTGAGTAGATCAATAGGTACCACTCTGGCAGGAAGGTAACGGCGCTCCATGCAGTCATGCTGGCCACATGACCTTGGAGGTGTCTACAGACAACTCWGGCTCTTTGGCTTAGAAATGGAGATGAGTGCCACACCCCAGAGTCGGACACAACTGGACTTCATGTCAGGGGAAAACATTTATATTTATATTTATGACATTTTCTACCAGTTCATCCAGACTTCAGAAAAGTGGTTGGACCAGAAGTGACCAGCATATGTTGGCTGGGATGTCCTGGAATCCCCAGTTCAGAAATTTAAGAATTTGAAAGACAGAAAAAGTAAAATCTGGATTAACAGATTTTGAAGATACTTGCTATTCGAAGGTAAGGTAAAGGTTTCCCTTGACATTAAGTCTAGTCGTGTCCAACTCTGGGAGGTGGTGCTCATCTCCATTTCTAAGCTGAAGAGCTGGCATTTTCCGTAGACACCTTTAGGGTCATGTGGCCAGCATGACTGCATGGAGTGCCTTTACCTTCCCGCAGAAGCGGTACCTATTGATCTACTCACATTTGCATTATTTCAAACTGCTAGGTTGGCAGAAGCTGGGGCTAACAGTGGAAGCATACCCTGCTCCCCGGATCCAAACTGCCAACCTTTGGTTAGCAAGTTCAGCAGCTCAGTGGTTTAACCCACTGCATCATCAGGGGCCCCCTTGCTATTCTAGAGGACTGATAAAAATAAGAAGATGTGTCCATTATTAACATTTCTCTGCACATTGGGCTAAAGCGATGGAAAAAGTTGAGATTTAGACCGCAGTAGATTCTAATTTTGCTCAGACAATTAAGAGTACAAATTGATCATCCTCTCACCTCATTCCCATCACGCATTCATAAAGAAATGTAATTCCTTCTCGCTGATGCGGACGAAGATGATTCACAAGGTAAGGGTCAACAACAACATCCACAACAGGCAAACCGTGCTTATTGAACATCCGCTGGTGTTGAGGAAATGGACGTGGCATAACAAGGGAATCTTAAAATTTCAAACATGGGCATCACAAAATGCAGATCTATTGTTTATTCATTAAAAACTACTAGCTTTCTATGAGAGAAAGTAAAACTAAAAGAAGTGTGCTAAATCCCAACAGATAGTTTCCAACTTATCGTTTTGGAAAGTAAATGATATTTTTTACAATGCACAATAAACATATTCAGGGATATGTGTCTTAACTGGCAGTAGAAGGATATCTCAATATTCTATTCTATATGGGAATAAGTCCAGTAATGATAAAGGGGCTGTTGTTCCAAAATCTATTGTGCTGACCAAACCATTCTCCTAACTAATAAATACCAAGATAGCAGCATATAATGGTTCTAAATCCTGGGTGCGGTTTCATAAAACTCTGAACTTTTCTATCTAATCCCATATTCTAGGAATCAAAAATTCTATTTTATGACAATTAAGCAGAATTCAAAGACTACCGTACTTATAAAATAAGTTTCAATCCTTCACAAAACAAAATTGGTTCATAATGTGGCAGGAATGGCTTTTCCTTAGTAAGGCAACTTCCTGCGAGCCATGGAAGAATATAAAAGCTACTGTCCCTCCATTCGTGCCCCTGCTGTAAACAAGATAAAACCCTGATCATTTAATCAGACAGGAATATTTTTCAATGAACTTATTAATTGTCTCTTGCTTGCTATTTGTTTGTTTAACTCCTATTGACTTTCTCAGAGATCACATGTAGCTGTGACCCATTAATAGTATTCAAGCAGATATATACTGAATAGGGTCAGAACAAATATGTATAGACCTTTGGTACTTGATCAGTTTCTTCAGAAGAGGGTGATATGGAAGAAAGAATTAGAAATATATGCAGATTAAAGCAGATAAACAATGAAAATCCTCACCTGGTGCACTCGGATCATGACGTGGTTTACAGTTCTGAGAGCCTGGAAGTGAATTTCCTTTACTGTTGGCTTTGCTGACATTTCTGAATGGGTTACTGAAAGGCTTCAAAGGAGCTTGTGGCAAAGTCCAAGCATGCTCTGTGCTTCTTACACCAGACTGAAAACACTTGCCACTTCTGAAGTCCTCTTCCAGAATTATTCCCATCACTTCAATTTCTTTGCCTCCAATCATCAGAGTTTGACCTTCACCAAGATCTTCCAAGTCTTTGACTTTGTATCCACTGCCTACAAGAGTTCAAAAATGTTAAGCTTAAATAAAATAAAATAATGACATAGACAACAATAAACCTGTTAAATGTTAACAGGTAAAAAGAATGGCACCCCAGACCTAAGGTTTATGGACACGCCCTTCAAAATATGAATTACGACTCATGTGGCCTCCAGATGGTTTTGAACTCCAGTTCCCAGCTTTCATCAACATTGGCAGGCAAGGGCTGATGAAAGTCTCATCACAATAATATCTGGAGAGCTACAAAAGTCCCACCCTTGCTCTGAATTAAAATTTTTAAAAATGTCTTCTGTAGCTCGGTGGAAGAATACATGTTTTCATACAGAAAACCCCAAGGTCAACCTTCCATCTCCAGAAAAGGCTTATAAAGCCCCCAGTCTGAAACTCTGAAGAGTTTCTGTCAGACAGTATCAGCATTACATTACCCTCCAATTGATCTAATTTGGCAGAGACACTCCAGGGAGTGATGGGAGTTGCAGTTCCAGCATATCTGGAGGTCATCACATTGGAAAAGCTCACTCAGGATGATGTTGAATATTGGAAGCCTCCTCCCCTGGTGGGCTGCATCTCAATATCTAATGCTCCCATGTGTTTATAGTACACTCTTAACAAAAATTCACAAAATTCAGCAACTGATTCAGTTTGAAGTACTGCCATGGATTTATTACACTCACCTTTATATCACCAGGCTAATTCCCATCTGCTTCTCTGCCAAAGACACTTCTCAAAGGGTTGATTAAACAAGTTAATGAGTAATTCTTGAAAACTATCTGTCTACTTCACCAGTTGCTTAGACAACACAATACAGCAAATGTTGGTCTTAGAATATTATTATTATTATTATTATTAAACTTTATGTGTACCCCGCTAGCATCTCCCGAAGGACTCGATGCGGCTTACAAAGGCCAAGGCCTCAACACAACAACAGCAAACAATTACAACACGATGCAAAGCAAATTAAAAACATAAGCAATAACAAAACATTACACTATTACGCAATAAAACCAGGGCTATCCTCTGGAAATTGTTACTGTGAATGGTAAGAGTGCTTATTTACATATATTTATTTACTTTGCTTTGCTTACTTTACATACATATTTAAGTCACAAAGTTTAATGAGCTGCACTTTTTTGCATACAGCTGTCATCTAATCCAATTTTTCATACATATCTATGATGTATCTTTATTTTATTCAAACACATATTTGGCGTCAAGGGCTTAATTCTGGGCACCACAGTGACATTCTCATTGGCATTACCTCTTCCAATGTCCTTGCCTTCCAGGTCCTTCAAGGTCACTGACTTGCCCTTCGCAATAAGAACAGCATCACCTTCCCACTTCTTGTGTTTTTTCTTTGAAGCCTTGCACCACACAACACTGAAGTATTTTGCAAGGCAACTCTGCTCTTTTTGGAGCCCTGGGACTTCTGTTGTCACTGGAGCTGTGGAAGCAAAGATGAGACACACAAAACAGAAGAGACAGACTTTCAGTGGGTCCTTCAGCTGAATCATGACTCCAAAACTGCAAGTGAAAATGAGAGCAAGGGGAATGCTAAGCCAACTTTCATGTCTCAAAAGCTCCAAAAACATTCCCATTTTGGACTGAAGCTCCTAGCATTCCCAGCCTGTAAGAGAATACTAAGACAACTGTTCTCTTCTCCCTTCTACTTCAAATGGGCCATTTGTTTGATGTTTACAGCAGTTTACAGCACCTTCAGGTTTCTATACTTTTATGGTGAAATAGTAAATAATAAAGTTGCACCTATCCAGAAGGCAAGGGTTAACCACTCTACAGTTGGCCCTCCACATTCATGGGTATTGGGGGAGGGGGGGGGACTCTCATGAAAATAGGAAAACAATGTGAAATTGAAAATAATATTTTTTTACACGAGAGAACACCTTTATGTGAATATTTAGATCCTCCAGGGTAACTTTAGAAGTTGGGGATCTAGAAGTTCCTAGAGATCATATATTAATCAAATCTGTGAATAATCAAATCTGCAAAGATTAAACCCACAAATATGGAGGGCCAAATGTATATTGTATCATCATCAAGCAGGGATTCAAATCCTATTTTCTGGAGTCATAGGCCCTATCTACACTGCCATTATAATGAAGATTGAACTGCATTATATTGTCAGTGTAGTCCTATAGGAGCCCACGGTGGCACAGGGGGTTAAATTGCTGAGCTGCTGAATTTTCTGACTGAAAGGTCGGCAGTTCAAATCCCGGGAGTGGGGTGAGCTCCCACTGTTAGCCCCAGTTTCTGCCAACCTAGCAGTTCGAAAACATGCAAATGTGAGTAGATCAATAGGTACCACTTCAGTGGGAAGGAAATGGCACTCCATGTAGTGGCACTCCATGCTGGCCACATTACCTTGGAGGTATCTATGGACAATGCTGGTCCTATAATCCAGTTCGGTGCAGTTAAACTGCATTTTGTGAGTCTACACTGATCATATATTGCAGTTCAATTCAGCACTAAAACCACTCACCATGCTGGCTCTCCAAATTGCTCATCTTTAATAATGTATGTCTATTTTACTTTTTGAACTAGCATGTAAAGATGTCTATGTTAAACATAAAAACAACTAAAATAACAATAAATAATGAATCAGGATAGTAGATTTCTGAGTCTGTTTTGTTTAAACCTAATGTGAGCTTTAATGTAATCTGCCTTTGTTCACTGAAGATTATATCAAGAAAGATTCCCAAACTAATTGTTGAAGTCCACACAAATATTAAGGAAGTTTAATATTATGAATACTTAAAATGTAATATTTATGAATGCTTAATATTTAATCTTCGCACATTCCTGGCAATCTACTTCAGTTCAACTTCTTTGCCTGATTGGTTTCATCTTTGGTTGCCTGGGGCATTCACTGACTATCTTGCATAATATTAATTCACAACAAGCAGTGATTTTCCCCTCAATCCTTTTCTGTTATTTTCTTCCCTTTTTCTGAAACATTATCCATTACAAAACAAAAAAAACAAAAAAAAAACCTACACATATTTCCTGCAGCAGATCAGAAACATAGTATATTCCAGTACTCTCTGTCTCTGTGATTTAAGAGTAATTGCCTGTTTAAAATGTGTGGGATTACTTTAAAGAAGAAGTCAGAAAGATTATTCATATTTTTGAGCATTTTTATGTGTTACGCAGGAGTGATTACTTGCAGACAAGCCAAAGACATTCTGGAACAAGAAGTCTTAATCTTTTCAAACCACCTTACATAAACCCAATTTACATAAATGCAATCCATTCAATAATTCAAGTAGGGAAATAATAAGAGAGACCAAATATAGCTGGAATTGTGCAGGGGTACTCATGTGTATCGAGAAATGTATGCTCTGTCCCCATAGAGTCTCTTCTTTGCATTCTGGGATCTCACTTTGGTACAGGGTAAAAATCAAATTTCCAGAGCTCTGTAATCTAAATTCCAGATGTGCGCGCACACTCACTGAAAATGGATTTTGAAATATGGTGCTTATTTCGTAATTTTGCACTGAAGTAGTAAGGAAATACCAGTCATAATGGATTAAGTATTTCATTTCAACTGCAAAACACTTTTAATACTCTATGGGATGGAGAATGAAATTTGTGCACTGTATCTCTATATTCAATTTTTTTGTTTTCTTAGTTATTCTTTTATGTATGCTGTGATGTTCCAGCTAATTATTATGGACTAAATAAATTTAGTAATAAATTTAATCTTTGGAGCAGAGATGGGCAAACTTTGGCCCTCCAGGTGTTTTAGACTTCAACTCCCACAATTCCATTGTGAGAGTTGAAGTCCAAAACACCTGGAGAGCTAAAGTTTGTCCATGCCTGCTCTACACCTTCATCAAACCACTCTAATTGTGCAGTGTGAATACATCCATGGATTTCTGATTTGCAATTATTTAACAGTAGCAACTATAAAATTACCTCTTCTTCACCTTCTATAAATTGTACTACCAAAAGGCGGAAAGCTTCAGGTGACCAGGAATTGACTTTTATGTAGAAGGACCTTGAGCTCTGTTTAGATATTCAAGACATGCTACAAGATGTTTTGATCTTCTGGTGCTAATGCATAATATACATAACTAGCCTTTTGTCTAATGAGGTCCAAAGGTAGAACTGGGCCCCCAAAAAAATTCTGCCCTGACTATCCCAACCCAGTGATCAAACTCAGTCCTCACAATTTGCTATAGGATCCTGGTGTCCTATAGCCAGTTGTGTGGCTATAGGACATCAAGTGTGAAGCTTTTCATGTCAATTCCAGTTGTAGATGGGCTTCCAAAGTTTATACAGTCGCCTCTTCACATTTGTGGGTTGAACTTTTGCAGGTCTGACTATGTGCAAACTTGATTAGTAGGAATCTCTAAGCCAGTGGTTCTCAACCTGTGTGTCCCCAGGTGTTTTGGCCTACAACTCCCAGAAATCCCAGACAGTTTACCAGCTGTTAGGATTTCTGGGAGTTGAAGGCCAAAACATCTGGGGACCCACAGGTTGAGAACCACTGCTCTAAGCTCTCAGGATGACTCTATAGTCAACATCTGCTGAAAGCTGACTATGACAGTTGAAGAGATTACGAACTGCATTAATTTTACTGTGTAGATTGTGTATGGGCAAACTTTGGACCTCCAGAAGTTTTGGATTTTAACTCCCACAACTCCTAACAGCTACTAGGCTGTTAGGAGTTGTGGGAGTCAAAGTCCAAAACACCTGGAGGGACTAAGTTTGCCCATGCCTGGCGTAGATGCACTCTTTAATAGCATCCATACATTACAACTAGTAAACTATCCCTATTTAAGCTAGGACCCTTCCACACAGCCCTATATCCCAGAATATCAAGGCAGGAAATCCCACAATATCTGCTTTGAACTGGGTTATCTGAGTCCATACTCAGATAATGTGGGGTTTTCTGCCTTGATTCTGGGATATAGGCCTGTGTGGAAGGGCCCCTATTTAATACTTTCCTTGACTTCAGTGAATATTCTCTTGACAGCTCAGAAACCTTTTCTTTGTCAACTCCTTTCTCTTGCCTGGCCACAGCATACACAGCCTCAGTCCTAAAAAGGATTCCATTTGTGTAACAAATTGCTTTATAGTGCTACTGAGCTACCGTTCAATTTGGATTCAAATTACAAGAAAAGAGAGTCCATCTAAACATTATTTAAAAATCCTGATAATAACAGTAGAATATGCTGCCTCCTTCTCTAGAGGTTTTTAAACTGAGGCTGGATGTCCACCTGTCAGAATTGCTTTGACTGTGTATTCCTGAGAGGCAGGAGTTTGAACTCGATGGTCCTTAGAGTTCCTTGCAATTCTATGGCTTATATTCAAGAGTAATTGTGTTGGCCCTCCAGGATAATACAACAAAATCCATAAAACAGCGATATTTTTATTAGACCAACTAAAAAGGGCATAATACATCATGGAAATAATTATGTTTCACCGATGTCTTATCAGAAATCATACAGGAAAAGAAATGTAACAACAATAAAGTCACAATCTTTTGTCTCAGGTATTACTCCTGTCGTCAGTTAAGATGGCATTGAGGGATATCAATACCAGCAGAGGCCATTCTCTTCCTTGGCCATGTGGGGACAAAGGACAAAGACCAATAATATACGGGCAACACATTTCACATCCATTAGCAGATGCAAAGTAACTTCCACTGAGATCCAGGCTAATTCTGTCCTGTCCCGGGTGATTGCCACTTATGAATTTCTCACATCTTTTCACTGTTACACCTGGAAAACCCTCTAGATACTATATGGGTAAAACCTGACAGTTGTATTCTAAATGAAAGAGTTTTGCCTTTCTTGGAGGTAGAAGGCTCAAAGAGTGAAAGCTAAACTAAGATAAATTATGCAAGAGTAAGGGGCAACAGAGATTGGAAAGCTGGCTTTTGGAATACAACTTGCCAAGCTGACGAGATTCTGGGTGCCACAGTACAAAACTATAAAATTTCCACATTCAATGAGAGAGCTGTCTGAAGGCATTACCTACAGTATATATGGTCATTCTCTAGCTGCCAATGACCTCTGATCAATCATAGTGTAAGTTTTCTAGAAACAGAAGAATGTGCTGGTAGGACATGCCAGGAACCAAAGTTGAAGATTTCAGCAAGCTTTAATCTTCAGAAAAATTAGCACACACATCACTGCAAGAAAGGTTCCCTCCCCACTTCCAGACTTTGGCTGCTTCTAGTATTCAGTGAAAGGTTATCACCATTATCCATGTGGAGCTTTTTGCTCACATCAATTCCCATTTCACCTTGCCCATTTTACTTGCTCAGAACTCATTACAGATGAAAAGGATTTTTATTTTCCCTCCTGGTGTGACCTTACTTGGACTCATCTTGCATTGTTGCATGTTCTTTATTGTAATGATTGCTGATTAGTCTTGTGCATTTGTATAGAATCACTATCCATTTCTGTTTGTTTCATTTGTAATGCCTTGTTTTCATTTTTGAGCACCTCTCCCTAAACTGGGCTCCTTTCTGAATGAGCTTTTTTGTTCTAGGTCCGAAAGAACAAAAATATTTAGACCATTGGCCAACATGGGCAGCCTTCCCCTCAGTTTTAGGGCTAGGGGGGTGAAAATTGCCACACAGAGGGCACATCTACCACTCTTAGCCCACCAAGTTTTATAACATTTGGGTCATCCCCTGATTTTTAGGGATTTTTTCTTACTGTAAATAAAATCTCCTTTAAAACATTCCCTCTTTCCCCCACTGGCCCCACCCTCTAACTTCTCCAGGAGCAGCAGCAGGAGGGAAGCAGGGCAAGGAGGCCACCATTTCTTCCTTCCAAATGTCAAAGATGCTCCTCACACCACACACATAGCCCAGTGCCCACTCCTACTATTTCGCTTCTTCTTTAACTGGGAGTAATGGGGGCAAATTCCCTTCCCACCATTTTTGGCAATGGCATGGTTTGTCCTTATATCCTTTATTACAACCTGGATTAAAAGCATCAGAGTTACTTAAGATACCACTATTTCTGAGATGTTTTCACCTCCATCTGCTGTAGAGTACTGGTTAAAGATATGGCTTAAGATACCACTAACTCTAAAATATTTTCTTCTCCATCTACAAAAGGGTACTGATGTTAAAGATAGGGCTTAAGATACCACTAATTCTGAGATGTTTTCATCTGTGGAAGAGTACTGAGGTTAAAGATAGGGCTTAAGATGCCACTAATTTGGATATGTTTTCTCCTCCATCTGCAGAAGAGTGCTGAGGTTAAAGATAGGGCTGAAGATACCACTAATTCAGAGATGTTTTCTCCTCCATCTGCAGAAGAGTGCTGAGGTTAAAGATTGTACTTAAGATACCACTAATTCTGAGATGTTTTCCTCTCCACCTGCAGAAGAGTACTGAGGTTAAAGATTGGGTTTAAGATACCACTAATTCTGAGATGTTTTCTCCTCCATCTGCAGAAGAGAACTGGGGTTAAAGAGTGGTCTTAAGATACACTAGCATGCTGTCCGTGGGCTCCGTGAGGAGCTCCATGTGGGTCAAAAAGCAGGTGACAAAAATGTTATTTTTCCCACTTTCCTTTCATTTCACTGTAATTTTTGTACAGGATAGGAGTTTACAGTTTTGTGCCTTCTGAATGAAATAATCAGCATGAAAACATCAATTAAACGGATGAAACAGTTACCAGGCGCATGACTATTGACGGATGTCCTTTGGCTGTTTGAGGGACAGGAGATGGGACAAGTACTTCTAGGGACTCCATGACTCCCCCTCACCAGCTCCACCAGGCATAAGTTGGCTCCACTTCTATGGATACCTTACACTGCATATTATTGGGCAAAGTCAGATTGAACAGAGAGAGGAAAACAGTTTTTCAATAGAAGTCACAGGGTGATATAACAGCGCTTCAAGAGCAGGTTTGGCAAAGTATATTTTCCTGACTTTCAGAGGTGTTCCTAAACTCCTTCCTCCTCAGGAAAGCTTTAGCTGACTGATGTTGAGATTAGATAGGCGTTAACTCTGCAGCTGCTGTTTCTATAGATTGGCTTTGTTGTATTAACAACATTTAATGTATTCCAGTTTTTGAAGATGTAATATGGTTATTAAAAGCCAACAGGGTGCAGTGGTTTGGTCTAACATTTTGGAAAACAAATACCTGTGTAAATATATTTTAACTTTATGGCTATGAGATTTGTAGTTTATCTTGTTTTCATACTTTGTAAGCTGATTTAAGTCCAATGCTAGAAGAAAGACAACATATAAATAACATAAAATAGGAAATTATTACCTTTTAACTCATTATTAGAATTGGCATAGTTTAGAACATTAAGATCTGGACCATGGCCCTGGAAATTATAGAATTCAAATCCCAATTCAGCCATGGAAACTTACTGAGTGACCATGAGCAAGTCACGTATTCTCAGCCTCAGAGGAGGCAGTTGGAAGTGCTAGACAAGTGCAAGCTAGTAGCATTACGAAGTGACAGATCATTAAGCATGTCATACTAAAAAGGCAAATCTCAACAAATCTGGCCAAGAAAACTCTGTGATAGGATGGTCATAAATCATAAATTACTTCAAGGTACATAACAAGAATACGGATATTATGATTTAGTGTCACCTGCCAAGAGTTGAGGACAGGCAAAGTGCAAATATTTTAAGCAAATTAATGTCTGCTTTCTGAAAGGTTTTGAGAATGTCTAGAAGGATGAGATGCAAATTTCACCACCGCAAGACTCTGCTTCTGTCTTCTAAATATTTAAATCATTGGCCTGTCAGGAAACAGGGAAAATTAAGCACCCCTAAACTGTTTAAAAGCTTTATTAAAGCCAATTTCTTTCAAGGTGGAAAGAGCTCAAAAAAGAAAACAGAAAATGCAGGTGGGAGAAAAATAATGCAAGCAATGCTCCCTAAGTGAAGGTAAGAGGGATAAAGGATGAAAGGGCTAAACCAAACAGGATTACCTGCAAGTAATCTTCTCTTTCCTGGGCTCTTATTTTACATGGCAATAGCCTTTTGCACATATCAGACATTGCAGAAGTATTATCTAGAAGGAAGGCCTCTCTGAACAGATGCCAGATTCAAGAGACTTTGAGCAGGAAACTGGTCCAACTGGAAGTGCTAGGCAAGTATAAGCTAGCAGCATTACAAAGTGATAGGCAGATCATTAAGAGGTTCATATTTAAAAGACACCAAGTTTCATCAAGCTGGTGGGATTATGTGCCCAGTCCCATCATCTCATTTATAATTATGTCTCCATTACATTTTTCATACCATTCACCGTCCAAAGCACTCAAAGAAGAATCCATTATTCCTAAATAGCAAGTCTGTGATGGAAGCTTAGGCATCAAGCTAATAGGTAGTGACTGACCCAGGTAAGTACAGAATCTGAACACGGCCTCAACAATGTGTCCAACACCACATTTGTTCCATTCCACTTCTATTACATTGCTGAACAAAAGAGAGACTTATGACCTTCAGGCCACAGTGGGAACAGCTGGAAAAGGACATCTGTACTGATAAAGAGGGTAGAGCAACTGTTCTATGAGCAGAAAAATGGGGTTTCCCCACTTCTGCTTGACCCAATGAAACAGAAGAAGAAATGCCCCAAATGTTTCATCCAATGAAGCAGATCAGGCAAACGTATTTTTCAAACATCATAAGTTTAGACTGCCTCAAGATGCAGAAATAGCAGCCAATTTGTGAAGTCTTAGAACTTAGGCAAACTCATGGAGGGTGTTGCGCAAACTCATGGAGAACAAGATTTTTAGCAACTTCTGGTTGTGATGGTTATAAATCATCTGCAGAAAAAAATGGCTCAGTTCAACAGTTATTGGAGGACATGTGAAAGCGTGCTGTTACTCTTGGATGTCTAGGAGTCTGTGCATCAGGCATTCATACATGCATATGGAGGAAATTCTGCGAAAATCAGCTTGGCGTTCTACTAGCATTTTGGCTCCAAAACAAACAGCAGCAAATCTATTTCTTTGAGTCTAATTTTATTAGTTGATTTTCCTTTATTTTTTGATTATTTAGTGGGGCTGGGAGTTGGAAAGTGCGGGTGGGTGGTTGCATGTTTGGGGACTTGGGAGAAAGAGCATCTCTTGGGTGGGTGAGTGTTTTTCTTTTAAAATATTAGGTTGGTGCTGGACCTTGGCTCACCTTCTTTAGCTTCTCTTCTCACCTTATATTTTTTCTCCACCCTCTCTTCTTTCAAAAAAATACTCTTAAAAGATTATTAATGAGAATCCAGCAAAACCACTCCCTACTACCAGTACCTACCTATCAATACCTAATTTCTTTCCTTTGCAATTTCAGGTTCTCTCTGTTGTTTAATTGAATCAAAATATTTCTCCTTTGCTCTTCATTTGTTCTGTTTATTATGATTCATATAAATTGGCTTTTGTTGAAGCTTTCCCTACAGAACTACACTACAGAACCCATCTTCTCGACTCTACCTCAAAACTCCATCAGCGAATATTCTTTCAAAAATATTATTAATAAGAATTGTACCAGCAAACAGCAAAGCCTCAGTCTCAAAAAATCCACCAGCAGGACCTACCTAAGTACCTAAGTACCTACTACAATACCAAATACCTTTCCTTTGCAGATCTCTTCAAGTTCTCTGAATTGACTGGTTTAATAAAAATCTCTCTCTCTTGGCTCTCCGTTTCTTCTATTTATTACATTTCATTTCATTTCATTTGGCTGGTGCTTAAAAATAATATTAGGCCTGGCTTTTGTTGAAGCTTTGCCTAGAAGAAAATACTTCCAAAAGATTATTTTTAAGAATAGTGTCAGCAAATAGTACCAGCCTGGGAAGCCCCCCCCCCCCCCCAAATTGCTGCCAATGGCCAGATTTTCTCACATTTTTTGGCTGCGGATCCAAACGTGTTTTTTGGATACTGGCCGTTTTTTGGGAGGCTCGCAAAACCGGATCTGTGGGTTTGCCAAAATTCGGATATTGAAAATGGATTGTGGTTCACAACCCTATTAGCTGAACACGCAAAAGAAGACCCCATTACAGTTGGATAGTCTTTGGTCAAGGAAGTCTCAATCCTGAGTTCAAAAGACCGTGGTAGGGCTCTTGATGAAAAGGTGATTTGGAGGTCCCTCATTCATATGATCAGCAGAATTCAAAGCTGATTTGACAACAGTTAAAAACAAATACACTGAAAGAATGCATAAAAGCAGTCCTGAAAAGACTGTATGCTGTCTTCATTTTATTTTAATACACTAAAGGAAAATGTCAGATGTACAAATTTATTCTTAGCTTCTTACCGCTTTCAGAAACATTGTGTTATGAATCATCATAAACATATATTCCCTCTGTTCAACTCATCACAAAAATACTCCACCCCAAATTCTCCTACATGGTTTTCTTGCCAGGATTATACTGAATTTGAGAACAATATGATTTATAAAAGAAGGAAACAGGATATGCTTTTTTCCTCTCCATTTTGCGTATGTTTATTGACCAACAAGCAAATGAATTTTTCAAAATGGGCAGATAAACATCGCTCCAGAAAAAAAGGAAACAAAGAATAAAATCAGCATATTTTACAACAGCTGCATAAATTATCATTTGCTTTTATTAACAGTAATATGATCACAGGATTTCAAAAGATTTAAAGTCTCAGATCTGCTTCTATTTCAAGTCAGAAAACCTGGGAAGACCCATGAAAGATGGCTTTGTGTTTCTTTTGGAATGTGCATGAAAAATAAAATGGAAAAAACATGCACTCTTCCCTCGTCCCAAGGCTGAGTTTTAATCCATCCAAATAAACATGGCAAATAATATTTTCTAAATCAAAAAGAATTAGGCAATAACCCTGTTTTATGCTCAGTCTTCAAAGACCGTTGAATTCAGGAAGATCACGACGTAGTCGTATCGCCTTTAATTTTTCTACTTTAATTTTTGCTCTCAAGAGCTCCTCTTCCAGCTGTTGTCTTCTTTTCAAGCCATCCCTTTTTTCCTGGATGTAAAGCCCAATTTTCCTCTGGTTTTCTAAAATTATGTGATGTTCTTCTTTTAGCATCTGCAACATCTGGGGATCATACCCTCCACACGCCGGCCTAAATCGTTCCCCACTTTCAAGCCTGAAAAATTCATCTCGTCTAGGGATGGGTGATGGAGATAACATCCTTATATCCACAGAAGACAGGGAAGTTGACGGAGATTGCTCCATGATATGGACCAAATGTTGTTGCTCTCTTTGCTCCAAGCCCTCCTGGTTTTGTAACTCTACAATCAAAGAAGGAGGTGGCTTGACATCCTCTTCTTCCTCTTGATCCAACTCCAGTGTGATAGCAGCAGGATGGTGTTCCACAATGGGCTGTGGTGAACTCGTCGTAGCCACGGTTCCTATTTCCCCAGTAGCACTAAAACAGAAAGATAATCATTTAGTACTTGGTAGAAAACAAAAAGGTAATGTTCTCCAGACAATGTACCAACTTCTAAGGATTTATCAACAGTGTATAATAATAATAATAATAATAATAATAATAATAATAATAAATAGAAAGTAGAATTAGTGCAGTTTGACGCTACCTTAATGGCCATGGCCCCCCTGACTCTGGAATACCCTCCCAAAAGAGATCAGATTAGCCCCCACCCTTCAATACTTCCATTTTAACCTGAAAAAATTGATGTTCAAACAGACTTTACACTTCGAGTAGGCTGAATGGGCCCATATGAAATTGACACTTGGCACTTTGTGAATTGATGGCAGCTAGTTTTATCTACTGTTGTTTTTAAAATTGCATTATTTTGATTCCATGCTATATGTGTTGACAGAGGCTGTTATTATAATTTTGTGTGACTTGTTTTATACTTAAGTACCGTTTTTACCTGTTGTATGTTATATGTGCACCCTGGAGTCCCTTTGCAAGCCACTCCAAGTATCTTATTATTTATTATTATTATTAATCCTAAGGATTACAGGTCTTTAGCATTCCCTAAGAGTGCTGATGCGTCATCAAACTACAACTCCCATTACTCCATAACAGTGAGCCATGGCAGTTGAAATCATGTCAAAACTGCATTTATTCTACAGTGCAGATTCACCCCAAGACAATAGTATAGAATGTGTGCGCCACCAAACATGGCTGGAGATCAACTTCTATTAACCTATCCAGCACAAGCCAAGATTGGAAAATAAGAGTCCAGTAACATCTAGAGAGGAAAGTCTCACATTCTCCATCCATCTTCTAAGTCCATAAACAAAAAATTGATAATGCCATAATTGTCAAGAGGTAAATCTGCTACTGTAATCTGCCCTGAGTCCCTCCAGGGAGATAGAGCAGAATATAAAAGTATTATTATTATTAGCATCATCATTATTATACCAGCTTGATAGAAGTAATAAAGAAAACCTACCGAGAGATGCAAAAACAAAGACAGAGACAAAAGAGGAGTATAGAAGTTAGTCATGAACAGATGCACAAGTATGGACAGTGTGAAAGAGGGTTTAGAGAGTGAAAGGAGAAAGAAAACTCTGAATAATCACTTCTAGCATTGTTCCAGGTGTCTAACATGATGTCCTCTTCTAGAGAGCTGAATAATGTTTTGTCTTACGGCATTTCTTTTCCTGCCTACATTCCACCTGTTCTCCACCATCTTTATTCATGAGATGTACCTTGTACTGAATTATCAGTCAATGTCTTAACATTTGAGAGCCAAGGTACGCACATTTTTCCTGACCTCAATTGACAAGACATTTTTGTGGCTACTCAGAGACCCCTATTACTTTCAATTGCCCAGATGCTTAGGAAGGACATTTATTTATTTCGTATCAAAAGCATTGCATAAATTAGTATAAAACCGATAAAAATAGAAGGAGCTTAGGTGGCTAAATATCTTTTGACCAAAAACAGGCAACAGCAATGGCATTGTCTGGAGCCTCTAACAATTCTTCCTCTGTGCATGAGGCAGGGCATAGTGGACAAGCATACAGATGCAAAGTTGTCTGTTCTGCTCCACAGTCACATAAGGTGTGGGATTCTTTTAGGTAATGCCATTTTGCCAGCTTGTCTCTTGATCTGCCCACTCCACTTCTGAGTCTATTCAGGGACTTCCAAGTTGCCCATTCTTGGTTTGCCCTTGGAGGAAGACCCTCGTGGGGGGCCATCCAGTTGGAAGGACATGGAAGAAGATGAGATCAGTTGAACTCCTCTTATTTAATTAGTTCAGTGGTTCACAACCTGTTGGTCCCCAGGTGTTTTGGCCTACAACTCCCAGAAATCCAAGCCCGTTTACCAGATGTTAGGATTCCTAGGGACCCACACTTTGAGACCCCCTGAATTAGATAGAGTGTGTGGACTGCATTCATGTGTATTCTAGCTCAGCATTGATAAATAACCCTGCCCTTGGTCAAGTGAAGGGTGGAGATCACCAAATTAGGAGGAACATGGAAGGGGCTAAAATTTATCTCATCTTTTCAGAACGCACTCAAAGCATGATATAAAATAATCCATTGTTATAATTAAGTACTAGAAAAGAAATACAGGGGCTAATTCTTCAAAAAAAGAAGAAATAACAGTGTTCATCTACTGAACCACCAGAAGGGTACCCAATGACCTCCCTTTGCTTTGAGCGGATAACAAGTCTTTGAGTTTTACCACTGTTTGTGAGAGATTAGCACAGAATAAGTCAAGAGGACAAGGAAAATAATCAAGCAGTGGCTAGATACTCCCCCCCCCCCCCCCCCCCCCCAATTCTTCAACGGCATCCTCGGTTCTTGTTAGTTGTATAAACTGCACTAATTCTTTGCAAGGTTATTTGTATTCCTAATTAAAATCTAAAGGTTGCTTTTCAGCTGGCTCAAGATCTTTCCTTAAAGCTCCATGTGTTTTACAAGCTGAATCTCCTCAGCCAGAAACAAGCACTTTGGTGTTTAATGGTGATTATGTGTCTGAGCCATCACATAGGTTGAATATCTCTGATCCAAAATGCTGAGGGGCCAAAGTGTTTGAGTGTGGATTTTTTCATTTTTTATTTATCTGTATTAGTATATGCATGCATAATGAGGTATCTTGGACACTGCATACACGTAGCCCGGAGGTAATTTTATAAAATATTTAAAATAATTTTGTACATGAAGCAAAGTATGTGTACTTTGAAACATCAGAAAAAAACAAACAAACATATCACTATCCCAGCCATCCATGCACAATTTTGGAGTGTTTCAGATTTCAGAATTCCGGATAGGGAGGGTTAACCTCCATTTCCCTATACAAACTTGTCAGAATCTTAGGATTCTCAAGGGAAGACTTTCTCTCATGACTTTCTCTGACCATCACTGGCCAGTCTAGTGAGGGCATAGGAGAAAGCCTTTTCAAGATGTGTTTTTAACCTCTTTTCCACAGGAGGCCAGGTTGACTCCTCCTCTGCTGCCCTCCTGTCAGCACACAAGGATCTTCTAAGGAAGTGGTTCTCAACCTGTGGGTACCCAGATGTTTTGGCCTACAACTCCCAGAAATCCCAGCCAGTTTACCAGCTCTTAGGATTTCTGGAAATTGATAACAAAAACATCTAGGGACCCACAGGTAGAGAATCACTGTTCTAAGGGTCCTTCCAGACAGCCCCTATATCCCAGGATCTGTTTCCAAGTTTTCTGTTTATACCAGATTATCTAGCAGTGCGGACTCATATAATCCAGGTTAAAGCAGAAAACCTAATTATGGATCAGATCCTGGGATATATAAAAACAAGAAACTATAATGTAAAGGGCTATAAGCATCTGTATGAAAAAGTTGGGACATCTGTACTGCTTTGGTGAGAAAAGGCAACTGTCATGATGTGACTGATATTCAAAAGAATCGTATGATCCAACAGATTCAATATTTTTATCAAATGTCATTTGGCATGAGACATTTGACATAGGAGCCCCCGGTGGTGCAGTGGGTTAAACCTCTGTGCCGGCAGGACTGAAGACCGACAGGTCGCGGTTCGAATCCGGGGAGAGGCGGAGGAGCTCCCTCTGTCAGCTCCAGCTCCTCATGCGGGGACATGAGAGAAGCCTCCCACAAGGATGATAAAAACATCAAATCATCCAGGCGTCCCCTGGGCAACATCCTTGCAGACGGCCAATTCTCTTGCACCAGAAGCAACTTGCTCCTGACACGACAAAAAAAAATGACATATTAAGTTCTTTACCTCCATACATGTTATATATTGATATGGAGAAATCACTTCCACTAGTATTGATTTAACAAGGAAGTGAACACATTTAGCAAGTTCTTGGGAGGTATCAACATGATCATGGCTCATACACTGGCTCAAACTTGTTTGATTAATTAACTATATGCAAAGAATAAGTGTTCGTTTAAGTATAAAAGTGCCCTGAATCTACTGTCCAAATTAGGCATGGGGCTTGGGAAAGGAGGATTCCTGAACATTCAACTCTAGAATCTACACTCTTCAAAAATTATTATGATTCCTTTGCTAATTCCCAAGGATCACTTCTGATCCTAAATCTTTTGGATAAAGCATACCCAAATACTGAATTAGGGTTGAAAGCCTCCTCATTTTTAACATGTATAGCCTAACATGAAGCTTTGACGTGGTCTTTACTATGATGCAATTTGCTAGAAAGTGTTGACTTTGACCCATGTAGAAATTTTGCATTTTTAGTTAACCTATTCCTGAAATTTTTTACAAAAGTTTCCAAATCACATATTCAGGATGAAAAAACACTGGGGTTGTCAATGGTGCTGTTAGCCAGCTACAAATGGAACTACTACTTTCCATCATGAATTGGTATGTTGTGCCAGGCAAGGATCTAGAGCAGAGGTGTCAAACTTGTGGCCCTCCAGCCTCCAACTCCCAAAAGACCTAGACAGCTTGTCCAATGACCAAGAATTCTGGGAGCTGAAGTCCAAAACACCTGGAGGACCATAGGTCTGGCACCACTGACCTAGAGAGAGATGTTGAGCAGAGTTCCCCGTATGGTGGACTTTGACTTATGTGCCTTCTAGTTGTTTGAGAATCCAAAGGCAAACTTAGCCCAGGGATTTCTTGGCAAGATTTCATCAAAAGAAGTTTGCCATGCCCCCTTCTAAGGGTTGTAATTTGCCCAAGGTCAGCCAATGGGTTTCTGTGGCAGAGCACGGATTCTAACCCTGGTCTCCTAGAGTCCTAGTCAAATCACTACACCCTTTTTGGCCTTTCATCAAAAACCAGAATTTCAGGGCTATGGGTCATTCCTTCCTGTTCTGTTCCACAGTTTACTGTTTTTGACAAGTCATTGTAGTACAGAAGTGTTGTTCTGGGAAGCAAAAGAAATTAGAAGAAAAAGAAGGAAGGTAGAATCTTACGTGCCTAGGAGCACATCAATTTCTCTTATAAAAGTATTAATATGTATAAAACAATTCTATGAAATATCTTTCACTCAGGTCCTAAACAAATATACTGAGATCCTTGGTATTTGCTAGGGTTTGGTTCCAGGACCCCCATGGATACCAAAAACTACAGATGTGGAAGTCCCATTATATACACTGAAGTAGTAAAATCATATCCCTTATATAAAATAGCCAAATCAAATATTTGCTTTTTGGATTAATGTGTGTGTGTGTGTGTGTGTGTGTGTGTCTGAGGATGCAAAACCTGTGGATACAAAGTACTGGATATGTAGGGAATGAAGTCATTAATTAAATTTATATTAATAAAGCTTATTCGCACATAATGTATTTCCATCTCCAATATACATTTGGAGAAAATGTATGTGAGGAAAGCCACTTGAATACAAGGACTTAAAAAAAGTCTTTGTTACAATCTTTAAATTAAGAGCTGCAGTGGCACAATGCGTTAAACCCTTGTGCAAGATGAACTGCTGATCTGAATGTTGGCAGTTTGAATCTGTGAGGTGAGGTGAGATTCTGTCTGTCAGATCCAGCTTCCCATGCTGGGACATGAAAGAAGACTCCCACAGAGCAATGTGGGCAATGTCATTGCAGATGGCCAATTCTCTCACACCAGAAGCAACTTACAGTTTCTCATGTTGCTTCTGACATAATAAAAAATCTTTAAATTGACCAGTCATCAGTTATATATTTTTTTAAAAATAACATTGCCACACTTTGTGCTGCTCAAACACTATTTGGCTTACTAAACCTGAATAAAACCCACTGAAAGTTTTTTTCCCCATCCTTTTTCCTTATTGCAAATGTAATCAAGACACTAAAGACCTGTTGTAGTGGCTCAACAGCTGAAGTAAGGTCAACTAAAGTTGATGCTGTGCGCTAAGTCTAATGTCAAACATTTTAACCTTAAAGAATGCCAAAGAAGCCACACAGCCCCTTCCTAAACGTATTCCAATTCTATACACACTTACAAGAAAGTAAGTTCCAGTGAACTCAGCAGGATTTAGGTCTGAGTAGACATCCAGCACTACACAGCAGGAACCCATTTGTATTGTAATTTATTTCCCCATGGTTGGTACACAATTCTTGTATCAAAAGGTCTATCCCATAGATGCTGTTATTTCAAGAATGATTCTTCCAGGGTGGGATTTAGACTACTCTTACTATTCAGTGCAACCAGGGGTAGCACAGATCAAGGACTGGCCAGCATGCTTATGTGCCAGCTTGCCCGGAAACTCATCTTAATGTATTTGTTTTGCACAGCAAATGATGTGACTCTAAATGGCTTATGATAACAGCAGCAAACAGAAGAGTTGTTTCCTTTTTTAAAAAACCAAAATGTGTTTAAATATACAGCCACAGGACAAATCCAGGAAACTGTTGTGTTTCACAAGTCTGGGATTATGGGAGGGAGGTGGGGACTAGTCCCAAAGGCTCTGCAAGGAAGCTTGCAAACAGCTTGCAAGTTATATGTCTCACTCAAATCTCTGCTAAAGGGCAGTCATAAAATAAAAGATGTTACGTGACTGCAGTATTCCAGCCTGTCTGGATGCAAACCTCATGAATGTACACCATCCCTATTCAAACCTTCATCTGCATCTTTTTCTCGGAGAAAGGGAAAAATAATCATATCTGCATTGCTATTATCATCCATTGTTTTTAAAACAATCCTCTCACATTGTTTAAAAGGCGCAGTAGCGTAGGAAGTAAAATATCATCTTAAAAGGTCTGCGATTCAGTTGAACGGTGTTCCTCCCTGGGAGATTAACATAATCCTGGATGGGGCACACTGTTATGAGAGAGGCTTCTTTGTTCTCCTCCTCGACTTTATGTAGATTTTTATCCCAAACAGGCATCCGCTTCCGTACACAAGGCAAGCGGTTGACTGCGGTACTACCTTAAATGTAGAAGAGCCGTTCCCTTGGTCAGTGTTTGAATGCTATGCCTATTAAAAGGGGAGGGGTAAAAGTTGGAGCTCCTATTTCACTCAGATTCTTTCTTAACCCTCACTTGCCATGAGTCTGACAATAAAGGTCTCTGAACGCCAAGTGGGAGATGAGCATTAGAGCACCATTATTTTGACAATTGAACAAAACGTGTTGTTTGTTTGGTTAAAAAAACAACAACAAATACTGCTGGAACCACAGTGCTTTTACTTTTCCTAAGGTTAAGTAAGGCATGTGGCTCAAATAAAGGCCAGGCAAGGAAGGCAGGAGGTGCTATAGTTAAGCGCAAGGTAAAAGGAGGCCACTTACCATGGCAGGCTGTTCCTCTCTCTCAAGCACACGCTGGAAATCTGGGGGATCATCTCCACAACTTTCTTGGTGGGCTCAGAGATGTAGCCCTTGTAGTCCGAAATGCTCTCCTTCTGCTGCAGAAGCTCCTGCTTGGCATATTCCTTGAGCCTCTTGTACAACGTGCGCAGGCCTTGCGCCGTGCGAGGCGGGCGGTCCACTCCAATGGCATTGTAGTTATCAGCTATGATGTCCCAGCATTTGTTTTTCTCCACTATGACCGAGTGCTTGTTGGTGTGCTCCTCGAGGATTTGGACATAGGGCTTGACAAGTTTCAGCAAATCCAGCTTTTCAGACAAGGTGAAATTCGAAGACCTGGGCTTGCCAACCATCGTTCCCTCCAGCCTGGAGAAGAGAGCCGTTCCTAGACACCACCGCACAGATCCCCTCCTCGGCTCGGCTCTTTTTCACAAACAGAAAAAGATCAGGCTTAACTAGGCTTGTCTCATTTAGGCCCACGCCTACAAGGGAGGGTTTATTAAAATTCCTCCAGCTTAAGCTGACGCAGGTTCAGGAAATCTGCTTAAGCCAAGCCTGACCTACATAAGGCTTCAGACTGAAGGAGCCGAGGAGAAGAAGCAGGCAAAACACACACACACTTTGGTGTCGAGAGACCCATACATCCATGGGATTGGAAACATAAAGGTTTAAAGATTAGCGCATTACCCTGCTAAATATTACCCAATTCATCCCAGAGTTTGCAAGCTCACGCCACATCTCTGGAGCTGACAGGGAAATGAAACTGCAGGGAAGATTGGATTTATTCATGTCTAAGAAAGCAACAACTTTTTGAAGGCTTTTTTCCTTTTGGTTTGCTTATTTATTGGTTGTTAAGCCGATGCACTAGAGCAAAAGGAGAAAAAGGAGGGGGGGGGATAAGCCCCACACAAGACAACAACAACAACTAGGGCGATGGAGGAGGCGCAAGGCAGGCGTGTGTAGAGAGCTCCCTGACAGAGCCCCTGATTTCGGCTCCCTCCTCTCTCCGGCAGCATTTGCATAATGCTAGTCCTGCTGTCAATCAGGCATTGCATATCGCCTAGCTAGTTAGGTTTCACTCAAGCTCAGGCTTCTCAGCAAAGCTAAGCTTCCCCAGCACTTTGCGGTGTGCCTTTTTAAAGAGGCAGTCACTCAATAAGGTGCAGAGGCAAACAAAAGAGCAGAAACATATAGCCAAGGGGCTTTTAAAAACACACACACACACTTCCACTCCTTGCAGCTGTACAGCACACACTATGGTTCAACACACCCTACGGTGCCCCATATCACTCCTCGGCAAGGCTGTGACAATTAAAAAACCATCCCAGGATGTGTTTATGTGGCAACTTTTGAGCTTGATCTGGAGTCATTGAGCTTTTTCTAGCCCAGATATGTTTTACTGCCATCACCATCATTATGTGACAGAAACTTGTGTACCAGCGCGACCATACCTCGAAAAGTCTGACTTGACCATGGTGGTCCATGCCTTAGTTACCTCCAGGTTTGATTACTGGAATGCACTCTATGTGGGGCTGCCCCTGAAGACAGCCCGGAAACTGCAGCTAGTGCAAAGATAAGCGACCAGGTTGATAACCGGAGCAAACTACAGGGAGTGGTCAACCCCCCTGTTCAAACAGCTCCACTGGCTGCTGACAAGTTTCTGGTCTCAATTCAAGGTGCAGGTTATTACCTATAACGCCCTACACAGTTTGGGACCAGCTTATCTTCATGATTGTATATTCCCCTATGAGCCTACACAATCTCTAAGACCCTTCGCTCGATCCCAGCCCCCATCACAAACACGGCTGGTGGGGACGAGAGAGAGGGCCTTCTTGGTGGTGGCCCCCCGACTCTGGAACTCTCTCCCCAGGGAGATCAGACTGGCACCCACCTTATCCACCTTCCGGAAAGAACCAAAGACATGGTGACATGGTTGTTCCACTGTGCCTTTCACAAGATAGTTTCCCCAAAAATTCTGATTCACAATTTGATTCATAATTAGATCTTGTCCATCATCACTGTTCCCTTGTAGAGACATAGTGCTCTCCTTATACTACCCCCCAGGTCCTAATCTTGTCATCTGCCATTAGCACTTTATCCATCAACCCTATCCTTTGGCAAATAATTTGCACCAGTCACAGCCCAAACTCAGAACCGTGCACTATTCTGACCCTCGAAGGTTATTAGATGGTCGCTATGTATTGTATTCAGTAATTGTTTTACATTATTGGAATGTTTTCATGAATTTTTGTTGTTATATTTTGTTTTATTTTAACTATGTGGAATCTCAGGCTTGTCCACATGTAAGCCACCTCAAGTCCCTTCAGGGAGCTGGAGGCAGGGTACAAAAATAAAGTTATTACGTTATTATAATAACTGTAGTTCAACATGTGGGGTGGCCACCAGGTCACAGAAATCCTACTCTTTTACATTTGTAAACCATGAACTTTCAAACCAGTGCCAAGTCACGCAAGTGCTCACACACAACTTTCCCTCGGGGGGGGGGGGGGGGGGGGGGGGATAGCATATATACTCCAGTGTAACTCGAAGGCAGGTATTGGTGCCAACATTATGGCTTTTGATGTGACTCATGACTAAGTTGGGAGCCACTCCACAGAAAGGGGAAAACACCAATATCTCCTTAGGGGGCTTTCTACCTCTGGCTGCCATCGCCATTTCCCCAACCAGGAATTCAGAAAGGCCAGAAGCCACACAACAGCAGAGGTTGGAAGGAGATGGTGTTCCTTTTAAGTTCTCCAAGACAATCTTATTGACCCGGGATAAGTCAACTCAGGATTTTTTAGTTTATTTTTTGAGCAACAGATTCAAATGGCAGGGGGGAAGATTCCACCAAAACATTAGGAAGAATCCCATGATGGTAAGAACTGTTCAGCAGTAGAATATACTATATGTGAGCATAGTTGAGTCTCCTTCTCTGGAGGTTTTTAAGCAGAGGCTGGCTGGCTATCTGTCAGAGTGTTTTGATTCTGTCTTCCTGTATAGCAAGGGATTGAACTGGATGGCTTTTGTGGTCTCTTCTAACTCTATGATTCTATAAGTATAGGATAAGTGAATAGGGAATTGAAAAGGGAGACTGCCAGGTTGCAACGCGGGTGAGATGCTCCTGAAAGACTCACACGGAAATGAGAGCAATGCCCTTTTGACTCACCTACCATGTTAGCTTATTCTCAATATAAATTTATAAAACAGAAATACATAACAATTTGCCCTGTGTCTGTGATACAGGCATTCTTTCCTGAATAAATATGCAAAACATATATCACCTCACCCAGTCCTTTGAAAATTTAGGGCAGAGAATGTGATTTACATTTTCCATTCTATCCCATTCCTACAATTGTATATATATATATATTTATCTTCTGACATTCATATTGATGCCGAGCAGCCCCCCCCCCAAGTATTTATAGTTCTGCCAAGGGCAAGGACACCAGACTACACAGCAAGGGTTAAGTCTTGGCCACATTGCCAAGGCACTGACAACAACAAGGACCCCATGAGGTTTTTTGGGAAATGGCTGGACCTTGGGACTTCTGCCCTTTTGTGGGAGTTGTAGTTCCCCAAGGGCTGAGCGATGGATTCTGTTATTGATCAACCCAGCGCCCATCACTGGACTTCTGCCTTTTCTTATTGACTCTCTGCTTCATGAACTGAACTGTTTGCCACATCCCTGGCCACGAACTTCCTTCTGGTGCTTGCCTTGAAATGCAAGCAGCCTCCGTTTCCACGCACCTTTGCCAAAGGACTATGAGATCTCCAGTTTGCATTATAATAAAGATCCAATATTGTAATAAACTTTGCTTGGGATGGGGATGGGATTGCCTTATGAAATATATATATATGAAGTATATGAAATGTATGTATGTAGAAATGTACTCTGGTTCCCCTCCCCGCTTCTCCTCTTTGACCCTTGCCCCAAAAGGAATGTGACCTAAGGATTACTGTGACAGGGAGGAAACCGTTTGTCCTCCCGAAATGGTTCATATTTACATTTGCATGGGCCATGCGGTTGATCCCCTTCTCAAACTAACTTTCAGAGCAGACAGTAAGGAGGGAAGGGTCAACAGAAACTTAGGAAGAAAAGACTGATTGTATCATTTTTAGGTATTTGTTGATCCCCCTTGTTTACAAGGCCCTGAGGTCCAAATACCATCAAAAGCTCCTTTTCATACTTCCTCCCAAATCCAATCATAAACCAGGAAACTCATTGTTCCCCTATCTGTCACCCCGCCGGTGAGGACAAAAGCCTCGCATTTCAGCTGGCGGATGCCCCCTGGGCTCATCATTTCCTCTGAACTGTCAAGCTTCATCCCGCCTCCTGGCTGCCGATTGGTCCATCTTCCAAGGCGCTAGGAAGGCGCTGATTGGACCCCTAGAGGCAGCGGAGCCTGCTGATTGGTCAGGAGGCGGGGCGTGCCGCCAAGCCTCCTCCCAGCTGTTCCGCGGCCAGCCAATCAGAGCGAAGCCGGCCGGCAGAGGGCGGGCGGGATTTTTGAAAATGTTTCCTTTGTCTGTACATACTATAAAAATGCTTGGAAATTCTGTAAAATTATGCTTGTGGTGGAATGATCCCTGCAATGCATCTGATTACAGCTGAATCACAATAAACCTCGATTGCTGAAAAACTTCTTCCACTTGGATGAGGCATTATTATTTGTAATATTTTACTCTTTGGATTGGCTCTCGCTGGCCTCACCAAGGGACCCAGAGCCCTTTAGGCGCGGTCCTCGGGCTTCTCTCTCTCAAGGAGATCCCACTAAAAGCAGCTCGATATCATTACTGTGGACTTGGTAAAATACAAATCAATGTATCCTAGAGCAAATCAAGCATCTAAAGAAGGTTTATGTTTAGCAAAGTTTATGCTTAAAAAAGGATGGCACAGTGGGTTAAAGCACCGAGCTGCTGAGCTTGTTGACCAAAAGGTCCGCTGTCAGCTCCAGCTTCTGCCAACCTAGCAGTTCGAAAACATCCAAATGTGAGTAGATCAATAGTTATCGCTCCGATGGGAAGGTAATGGCGCTTCATGCAGTCATGCCAACCACATGACCTTGGAGGTGTCTATGGACAATGCCAGCTCTTCAGCTTAGAAATGGTGATGAGCAGCACACCCCAGAGTCGGAAACGATTGGACTTAATGTTAGGGGAAAACCTTTACCTTTACCTATGCTTAAAAATAGTCTTAAAGGAACCACTACATTCCTTTCCCCCTCCTTTTTAAGCTGCAAGTATTAACATAGCTGTATCTTTGAAAGTAATCTCAGTATTTCACTTAAGAATGAGGATAAATGCAGGTAACAGCTGGATTTGTTATCAGCCATTGGGCATTTTCTTATCCCAGTAGTCATGTTTGAACCTGAAACCTATATAGCCCAACCACGTTTGCACAATTTTCCTACTTAAGACATTGTGCTTACATTATTAAATCAATATTTCCTTCCTCTTTTTCCCACTCTGTTTAATGTGCAATTTGATGAAAATTTCTAGAATCAAAGGACTCAAAGGTTTGATGACAAATATTTGTGTTCTTATTTCTTGACATGGCCTAATTTTCTTTGCATCTGGGTTAAAAACAAGACTTGCTTGCAATTACTTATCCTGTATTGATCTCTGACAACTGCTGATTAAAAATCAATGAAACAACTACTTATGTTGTGATGAATGTATTTACATGAATGGAAGCCAATTCATAAACAAAGTACAGTAAAAAAAAGAATTTTGGAAGATAAAACAGATATGAACAAGGAAAAGGAGTCCCATGATATCTTTGATGACAAGATAGAAAATGCTACAATTATTAATGTAAACAAACTATAAAAAGGTAAAGATTTCCCTTGACATTAAGTCTAGTCATTTCTGACTCTGGCGGGGTGGTACTCATCTCCATTTAGACACCTCCAAGGTCATGTGGCCGGCATGACTGCATGTAGCGCCGTTACTTTCTCGCAGAAGCAGTGCCTATTGATCTACTCACAGTTGCATGTTTTTGGACTGCTAGGTTGACAGAAGCTGGGGCTAATAGCGGGAGCTCACCCCGCTCCCCGGATTCAAACCTGCGACCTTTCAGTCAGCAAATTCAGCAGCTCAGCCATTTAACCAGTTGCGCCACCAGGGGGCCCCAGTTAACAAACTAATAATGGCTAATTAAATCTATTCCTGTAAAGTAGATTTCAAGTTGAGAACTACAGGGTTCTTTCCTAGGCTTCCTGCATTTCAGCAACATACCAGAAAAATTCACAATCTGAAATCCTGCCTAAGCAAACATACAAAAATTCACCAGAGACATAGAAAATTAGGAAGGAAAAGCTAATACACACACAAAAAACCCCATGATCAAGAATCAAAAAGCATTCAATTAGGCTGGAAGAGTGATCAAAACTAGCAGGATGGGAATCAGTGGACATAAATGTAATGCCACTTATCTTGTTACATTAGAATCGAAGGCATAAGTACATGATGGGAAGACGTGGCTTGCAATATGTTTGTGTGGGGAAAGACCCAAATGTTTTACCACACTGATTCTTGGACTTTGTTTTACCTTCAAGTACCAGAAGGTCCAGCAGCATGATGGATGGTCAAGAACTCTAAATGATGGAACTCTAAACACATAAAGGACCAAAAGCTGAGATCTGCTGTCTTACCAAATCATATCCAAAATATGAGCCAGAAGAACAATATGGCTGCAAAAAAAATCTAATGTAGTTTTGAGATCTATTAACAGGAATCGTTGAAAGAAATGGGCATGTTAAACTAAGAACAAAAGATTAGAAGACTTAGTAATGGTCATCAAATGTCTAAAAGGCTTTCGTGCATCTGATAGAGCAGATTTTCTTTCTGTTGTTCCAAAAGACAGAGCTTGAAACATTGGGGAAAATGACAGGGAAGGCAAACATTATGAAGAATTTTACTTCCTCCAACAAAGTCCTTACATGTCTAAGAAGCAGGAGGAGATACTTCTCTGCATTTTTATCCCTCAACACAGTTTAAGTATCCCTTATCAGGGATACTTATAAATGAATTTCATATTTTGACTTGGTCTCATCTCCAAGACACCTTACTGTGTAAAAAGGTAGGGTTTCCCTTGACATTAGGTCTAGTAATGTCTAGTAATCTCTGACTAGGGAGTGGTGCTCATCTCCATTTCTAAGCCAAAGAGCCAGTGTTGTTCGTAGACACCTCCAAGGTCATGTGGCCAGCATGACTGCATGTAGTGCCGTTACCTTCCTGCAGAAGCAGTAACTAACATCGACACCGAAATACAACACCAACTGAGCTCTGCAAGTGCAGCATTTTTCCGAATGAAGCAGAGAGTGTTTGAGGACCGGGACATCCATAGGGATACCAAGGTGCTTGTTTATGAAGCTATTGTTCTCCCAACCCTGCTATATTCCTGTGAAACGTGGACTGTCTACAGACATCACATGCAACTCCTGGAACGATTACATCAGTGCTGCCTCCGGAAAATCCTGCAAATCTCTTGGGAAGACAGGCGGACAAACATCAGTGTGCTGAAAGAGGCAAAGACCACCAGCATTGAAGCGATGGTCCTCAACCATCAGCTCCACTGGACCGGCCATGTTGTCCGGATGCCCAACCACCGTCTCCCAAAGCAGTTGCTCTACTCTGAACTCAGGAATGGAAATCGGAATGTTGGTGGACAGGAAAAGAGATTTAAAGATGGGCTCAAAGTCAACCTTAAAAACTCTGCCATAGACACTGAGAATTGGGATTACAATGTACACATACATGGCAAACATTCAATGCCATAGACTCACAACACATATAGACAGACAGTCAGAGGTTATTTAACATTCCAATTTTCTGGCCACCAGGGGAGCTGTCACTTCACTGTCCATCTGCGACACTGATGAAGTACTTTCCACATTCCCCGCATGCTTTTGCTGGAGATTTTTTATGGCCTCGTAAATTTGTTAAATTAGCCTTCCCACACATAGGTGGTGCCTAAATTTTCTACTTGACAGATGAAACTGTCTTTCGGGTTGCAAAGGTCAACAACAAGCTACACAAATTGGCCAGAAGCTCACTCTGACTCGGGCTGGCTTCGAACTCATGACTTTTCAGTCAGTAGTGATCTTAATGCAGCCAGCTGCGCCACAATCCCGGTGCAAAGTTGCAGCACAAGTCAGACAAACTGGATAACAAATGTTTTTAAAGGATCACAGAGAATCTAGTGAATGTTGTAATAAAGTAACAATGAGTGAGAAGATAAGAATAAAAGAAAATCAGCAAAATCAACCACTAGGCATTCATAAAGCCTGCCTAGATACATGCCCCTATTCACATACACATGTATGAACCTTTATACAAAGTACTATCTATTAATTGCATCACAATAGTAAGCATTGAAGAGGATGGATTAAAAAAAAAGAATTCTGAAAGATCTTGGTATAGACTTTAATTTTTTATCTATAGAATAATGTTTAGGTATCAGAAATTCTGTGCATACAGGAAACTCTTAAGATACCATCACCTCATTTTAGAACAGTGCTATATTTTTGGAATAGTCATGCTACATAGCAAACTCCTCCAATGAGACCCAGCTTGTCTGCAATTTTGGCCCTTTACTCACAGCCCTATATCCCAGAATATCAAGGCAGAAAATTCCACAATATCTGCTTTGAACGAGGTTATCAGAGTCCACACTCAGAAAATTTTCTGCCTTGGTATTCTGGGATATAGTGCTGTGTGGAAGGGCCCTCAGTGAAGTACTGGATTTTAATAAGTGTTCATACTGTTGCACCTCAGAGTAGAATCACCTTGCTTAAGACACCAAACAGCTCACAGCCTGTAGTCTTTATGGTTTATTAAAAGTAAAAGATAAAGGTTCATAAAAACAAAAGTAATGTTTCAAAGATCAAAACAAGGTAACACTTGAAAGCAAGAGCCACGAAGGCACCAGCAAAGAAAAGTCCCATGAGAACATGACAAAGTCCTAAAACCATGAACGTGAAAACAACAGCACAACAACAGAGAGGAAACAAACAAGGACATCTAATTACCTCTCAACAAAAGTTTGCTCTAAGCACTGCTAGGCCATTATATGATAATCAAGGTGGTCAGTTGAAACATTCACACCTAGCTCCAGCAGACAAGAGTCCTTTGTCTCACCCTGGCCATTCCACAGATATATAAACCCTTTTTCCTAGTTCCAACAGACCTCACTACCTCTGAGGATGCTTGCCATAGATGCAGGTGAAACGTCAGGAGAGAATGCCTCTAGACCATGGCCATATAGCCCAAAAAAACCTACAACAACCCAGTGATTCCGGCCACGACAATACATTGAACATGAAAACTGCAAGATAAATCCAGGCAAACAATGGGAAGCCTCTTGACTGAAACGAGAAGTTGCTCTGACACTGGGATATTTTCAAACAGCCTGTTTAATACCCTTTGCAAAACACGAAGGCGTTTCTCTGACCCTTAGCTTCCCACTTGTTAGCAATTCTCACACTCCTTCGGACCTTGAATTCCAAACGGCCAGCTCGATCTAAAGTTTCTTCTTCATCAAGGTCAATTTGTTCGTTAGTGCTTTCTTGCTCATTATCTGGCTGAGAACAACTGCCCTCCCTTCCTGAATCATCACGCACCTGGCTCTGGCTAGTTTCACTATCAACAGCGTCATCCTTTGCTGTGGGAAGTGAACTTCTGAACCCTGTTCTTCATCGTCTATCACAGGGACATCACTTTGCATCTGATTGTGAATCCCATCCTCCTAATCAGAATCATTGACACTATCACTCTATGATTCCAGCTGAGTCACAACACTTACGCAAAGCCATCTTATAGTAAGTCGTGCTGTCACTGTCCTACATAAGTGAATATGTAATTGTAGGGCCCTTCCACACTGCCCTTTATCCCAGGATCTGATCCCAGATTATCTGTTTTATCCCAGGTTATCTGGCAGTTGGAACTCATATATTAAAGTTAACGCAGATAATCTGGAATAAAGAGCAGTGTGGAAGGGCTCATAGTCTCAATGTCAATAACACTGCACTTTGAGAAGTGGCCTTCCTTTGAGCTTCTAGTGTATTCAATATTGGATGAGAGACATTTCCTCCAGCTGCAGCACAATAAGAAGAAAAACATCATCCTCCAAGAAATCAGAGAATATATAACCAAAACCACTCATGGAAGCTAAAGAGGACTTAAGATCAGACACCTTACAATTATTGTTCAGAATGGAATGAAAATATGAAATACAGTTCACAGTAAGCCACTACATGCTACAACTCATATGATACGATTTAGGATTAAAGCTCAGAAAAGCTTTCAGGTAGTTCAGCATGGTGCATTTTCATATGCTGTTCATTCAATCAGCTAACAAGCATTCCTTACCTTGTTTAGTTGCATCTGCTGGTTCTATGTTGATTTCCAAATGACCATTCTCCCTTTCATTATGTTTAGAGGAAAAATTTTCTGGAGATTTTAGAGGCACTGTAGAGCAAATGTTGATGGGTGTTGACTCATTCCATTTTTCCTGCAATAAACCAAAAGTGAAAATTATTCACGTAATTTTATCTATATAAATAAAAATGTAATGTTCGTTTGTGGGATTAACATAACTCATAACCCACTGGATGAATTGCCGCCAAATTAGGTCACAAGATACCTACTAACCCAAGGAGTGACCATCATTCAAAATTGATTTTGTCATTTGGAAGTTGTAGTTATTGGGATTTATAGTTCACCTAAAATCAACAAGCATTCTGAACTCCACCAATGATGGAATTGGGCCAAACTTCCCACACAGAACCCCCATGACCAACAGAAAACACTAGAAGGTTTTGGTAGGCACTGACCTTGAGTTTGGGAGTTGTAGTTCACCAACATCCAGAGAGCACTGTGGAGTCAAACAATGATGGGTCTGGGCCAAAATTGGCACGAATATTCCATATGCCCAAATATGAACACAGATGGAGTTGGGGGAAATAGACGTTGATATTTGGGAGTTGTAGTTACTGGGATTTATAGTTTGCCTACAATCAAAGAGCATTCTGAACCCCACCAATGCAGAATTGGAGCAAACTTCCCACACAGAACCCCCATGACCAACAGAAAATACTTAAGGCCATTCTGTCCAACTCCCTTCATCAGGGCAAGAAAACGTAACCAAAGATTCCTGACAAAGAGCCATCCAGCCACAGATATAGATAGATATATATGATTCACACACGGGGGGTTGGACTAGATGGCCAATGTGGTCTCTTCCAACTCTATGATTCTAAGCTCAGTTCAAAACAGATATATCATCTCAGAATTAGAAGAATTCATACTCACAATATACTGTAAATTTTGACATGTATTGTTCAAAAACAGTAATATATAGTGATAAAGTATTCTTGCCTTTAATATTACCTCAGGTATTTGAGCCTCTGGGTCCAAGTTTTCAGATTCATTCTTTAATGACATCACATTGTTTCGTATTGGTGGTATAAACCTCGGCTTTTTGGCTGAATTCCCAAGTAACTGACTTGGAGCTGCTGATCGTCTCATGTTCACTTCCAATGGCCTGAAAAGCAGTAATAAGTCTAGTTGTTGCACAGATTGAACCAACTAACAGGCCCAATTTTTATTCCTGTACACTTCTATTGGGGAGAATTGTCCCATCTTTGGCCGAAAACCACGATCCAAAGCTACTCCTCACAATAATAATAATAATAATAATAACCACAACCTACAACAACCCAATAATAACTTTATTTTTAACCCACTCTCTCTTCCCACAGGAACTCAGGGTGGCTTCCAAAGAGAAAATTGGCAAAAATTCGATGCCATATACAAAAAAATTAAAGGCAGTGAAGACAAGCAAATTAATAAATAGTTAAAATAAGACAATTGAACAACCTTGGCTAAAACATGTAATTTATTCAGGCCTCATAATACCATAGCCAGGTTAGACCATTAAAATCTGTATAAAATATAAAAGTATAAGAATATGAGATAAAATATACAAATGTATAGATCTTCATTACGTTAAGGAGATTGTTGTCAACTTCGTTCGACGGGTTAAAATTGATGGTAAAAAGTAATCATCTTCCTCTCCATAATCCAATGTACACAGGTGGGATTTTAACTCTTTCTTGAAAGAGAGGAGAGAAGGGGCTGTTCTGATTTCTTTAGGGAGTTCTAGAGGGAAGGGGCAATCATGGAGAAGACCCCCTCTCTCGTTCCCACCAACCATGCTTGAGATGGGAGTGGGACTGAGAGGAGGGACCCATCTGATGATCGCAATGTCTGAGTGGGTTTATAGGTAGGGATACAGGTTGTCAAATAATCTGGGCCCGAACCGTTTATGGGTCTATAGGTAAGAACCAGCACTTTGTATTTAGCCTGGAAGCGGATCGGCAGTCAGCGGAGCTGCTGTAACATGGGAGTAGTTCGTTCTCTGTATGGTGTTCTAGTTAGTAATCTGACTGCTGATCTCTGGACCAGTTGTAGCTTCCGAATTATCTTCAAAGAACGTATCTCCCTCTACGAACCACCAAGGACATTAAGATCATCTGGGGAGGCCCTGCTCTCAGATCCACCCCCTTCACTGTCGCAAGTAGTGGGAACGGGAGACAGGGCCTTCTCCCTGGTGGCCCCCGACTGTGGAACTCCCTCCCCAATGACATTACATCCGCCCCCTCCCTCCTGACCTTTCGCAAAAAACTTAAATCCCAGCTGTGGGATCAAGCGTTTGAACAATAGATGGATCAACTGGGAAGATTTAGAACACCGACGTTTACATTATGACTTCTAAATCATAACGCAGGGGTGCACCTACACTGCAGAATGAATGCACTTTGGTGTTAGGTACTATCTGCAATGGTCCATTGCCATGGGATCCTGCAGTTTGGTGAGGCCTCAACAAACTGCAACAACTTTTTGGCGGAGAACTCAAAAGATCTTCTGAAACTACAGCTCCCATGATTCTGTAGCACAATCATGGCCATTATATGTGCTATGCTAATAATATAATATAATGTTATGTAATATAATATAATATATTGTATATACATATAATATTTATAATATTATAATGTAATACAATATTATTAATTATTATTATTAAACTTTATTTGTACCCCGCTAGCATCTCCCGAAGGACTCGATGCGGCTTACAAAGGCCAAGGCCTCAATACACAACATAACAGTACACATAAAGCAAATTAAAACAATTAAAGCAGTATTAAAACAACAAAACAACAAGCAATAAACAATACATCAAAACACGATAAAACTGGGCCGGGCCAGAGTAAGGGGTACAGGGTTAAAAAGTGCTGATGTGACAGGTGATATGTAAAGATTATAGGGCAAGTGCAGTGTGCAGTGTGCGGCAATCTTAATTCTAATAAAGTGCTTATGGGACTTGGTATTGGAGGTTTCCTAATCGGGAAAGGCACATCGGAACAGCCAGGTCTTCAAGTTCTTTCTGAAGACTGCCAATGTCGGAGCCTGTCTAAGATCTTTGGGGAGGGTGTTCCAGAGACGGGGGGCCACCACGGAAAAGGTCCTGTCTCATGTCCCCACTAAACGCGCTTGCGACGCAGGCGGGATCACGAGCAGGGCCTCTCCAGATGAACGTAGTGAGCGCATGGGTTCGTAGACGGAGATGCGGTCACGCAGGTAGGCTGGTCCCAAACTGTTCAGGGCTTTGTAGGTAAGCACCTGCACCTTAAATTGGGCTCGGAAGATAAACGGCAGCCAGTGGAGCTCCTTGAACAGGAGGGTTGACCTCTCTCTGTAGGGAGCGCCAGTTAACATCCTGGCCGCTGCTCGTTGGACAAGTTGGAATTTCCGAGCTGTTTTCAAGGGCAGCCCCACGTAGAGCGCATTACAGTAATCCAACCTAGAGGTGACCAAGGCATGGACCACCCTGGCCAGATCAGCCTTCGCAAGGTACGGTCGCAGTTGGCGCACGAGTCTTAATTGTGCAAAAGCCCTCCCAGACACCGCCGACGCCTGAGCCTCAAGTGTAAGCGATGAGTCCAAGAGGACTCCCAGACTGCGGACCTGTGACTTCAGGGGGAATGTAACCCCGTCCAATATAATACTAATAATATATTATTATAATTATAGATTTTATATTACATATAATATTACAAATAATATTACAATATAATGGTACAGTACAATATAGTAATATATAATACTGATATTGTACTATGCTAATAATATAATGTATTGTATGTATCTATATCTTGTAAGCCGCTCTGAGTCTCCTTCAGGGTGAGAAGGGTGGCCTATAAATGTCGTTAATAAATAAATGATAGTGATATCAAACAGAATTAATTCTTCAGTGCAGATGCACCTTTCAGCTCAAGTCGTAGTGCAGCAGTAAACGCACTTCCTACAAGCTGATGAGCCTCTAAGTATGATCAGAGAATCATTTCTTTGTCCATTATTATGTTTTACAAGTATTTTTGAACAGAGAATGAAATGTACTCCAGTGTGTGCCTGCATTATCATCCTCACAACAAATACATTTACAACATAATGAAATCAGGACAACCATCAATCTTGGGGGGGGGGGGGCATATGGCCAGCTGTGGGGTTTGCAATTGGTCATTTAAAGACTTTATTGAAGGACCAAGTGCTTCAGAGCATGTGCAGAGTGCCTTTCCCTTCCATTTCAAGGATATGGTGGAATATAATATTCTTCTATTTATATCGGTACAGTTAATATAACATCCCTCCATAATGAAAGTCCTTTACCTTATGGGGGGATGTTACATCAGTACCTCTTTTAGCCCTCCCTATTGCGCGTCTGTCCCGCTATCCTCATCCACACTTACAATTCGGTTCAACCATCCCGCCACACAAGCATAGCCTCGCCTCCATTCAGCTTCTCGCAAAAATGCGCATGCGCGGTACTCATAACGCGCCTTCCTGCAGTCCCTTAGCCTCAAAGCGCATGCGCTAAAATCTTTAGTCGACGGCTGTCTTTCCATAACAGCCTAAGTGTACACACAAGTTCAATACTGCGCATGCTCCAATCATTGTTTTGCCACGATCAATATGGCGAGCGAGTAGGGCTTTTTTATTTTACGGCAGTGCTCACTCTAGTACATTGTCGCAAAATTCTATACTTTCTGTTGGCCAGAAAAAGTGAATGAAATTATGACGCATCTGGAAACTCAAATAGAAAACAACTAAGGGAGAAAGGAGCTGCTGAATGGAAGTGAATCACTGATTACAAAATTCTCGTGGACTTGGAATTTAAGGTGCAGCTACACTTTAGAATCAATGCAGATTGACACCACTTTAATTGCCCTGTCTTAGTGCTAATCCTGGGAGTTGTAGTTTTATGAAGGTCTTTAGCATCTACACTTGCAGATTTAATGCAGTTTGGCACAATTTCAAACTGCAAATCCCATAATTCCATGACATTGAGTGGTATCAAACTGCATTAACTCTAGGCTGTTAGGAATTGTGGGAGTTGGAGTCCAAAACACCTGGAGGGCCCAAGTTTGCCCAGGCCTGGTGTAGACGCACCCTTTGAACTCAATAGCACTTATTTTTGGTTAATACTCATAGGGTTGAATGATAAAATCTGCCATTTCTCCATCTATTCTTATAGGTAGCTTTGACTTGCTATCCTCTTAAATATATATATATATATATACCCGCCAGTTACATATCCGGTGTGACTCTAAAATTTCTAAATCTATGCTCGAGAGTGAGAGGCGGGGACCCTCTGGGAGTGACGTCAGAGAAAGGGGCGGGGCCTATCCTCTGGGTTGCTGCTGGGGGCGGGACCTAACCTGTCACTCAAGGGTCGCTTGGTGGAGAGAAGGCTGCTTGTTTAAACAGCGGGTGAGACTAAAGCTAATTTGGATCTTTTCCTAGAGGAATAGATAGTATTATATTAATTAGGGAATGGTTGGGTGGCAATGCAGGGGTGGCATATTTGGGAGGGGAAAACTATTTTGTATTGTATGAGATACACTTGCTGTTTTTAAAAGTGCAAAAATCCCAACTATCTTAGAGTTTGGCAAAGTTGTGTTTTAATACTGAAATAATTTTTATTCCACTAAATAAGTGAGATATATATATATATATATATATAGTTTTGGGGAAAATCCTTGAGCTGCTCAGCATTCCCCAAAGTATGAGATAGATAGATAGATAGATAGATTATATTATATTATACTTTGGGGAATGCTGAGAAGCTCAAGGATTTCCCCAAAAACTTTTATTTTTACCTCCCAAAAGGACAAAATAGATTTCCAAGAGTGGATGGGGTGTAAATGAGGAGTTTGCCAATATAAAACCAACGCAGAAGAGGGAATTTTAAAACAACATAAACTCTGACAGATTGTCAATGGTCTATGCCAGTGTTTCTCAACCTGGGGGTCGGGACCCCTGGGGGGGGGTCGCGAAGGGGTGTCAGAGGGGTCGCCAAAGACAAATAGAAAACACAATATTTTCCAATGGCCGTGGGGGTTCCGTGTGGGAAGTTTGGCCCAATTCTGTCATTGGTGGAGTTCAGAATGCTCTTTGATTATAGGTGAACTATAAATCCCAACAACTACAACTCTCAAATGTCAAGGACTATTTTCCCCAAACCCCATTTGGGCATATTGGGTATTCGTGCCAAGTTTGGTCCAGATGCATCTGGATGTAGGTGAACTATAACTCCAAAACCCAAGGTCATGGGAACTCTGTGTCCCAAGTTTGGTTCAATTCCATCCTTGGTGGAGTTCAGAATGTCCTTTGATGTTGTAGGTGAACTATAAATCCCAGCAACTGCAACTCCCAAATGACAAAATCAATCCTCCTGTCAACCCCACCAGTATTCAAATTTGGGTGTATCAAGTATTTGTTCCAAATGAATAAAAATACATCCTGCATATCAGATAGTTACAAGATGATTCATAACAGCAGCAAAATTACAGTTGTGAAGTAGCAAAGAAAATAATGTTATGGTTGGGGTCACCACAACATGAGGAACTGGATTAAGGGGTCATGGCATTAGGAAGGTTGAAAACCACTGGCCTATGCCTTTATAAAATACAACATACACTCTTGGGTACATTACATGGCACTGCAAAGTTTTGTGGCATTGCAAAGGTATACCAGTTATTTTGTTGTTGTTGTTGTTGTTGTTGTTGTTGTTGGTATATCGGGAGTTGTAGTTTTCCAAGGTCTTTAGTCTTCTCTGCCAAAAGAATGCTGGGGCCTCGCCAAACTACAACTCCCAAGATTCCGTAGCATTGAGCCGTGGCCTTTCCAAGTGGTATCAAACTGCATTAATTCTACAGCATAGATCAGGGCTGAATAAATGTAGTAATAGATTTAATCTCTAGAGCAGGCATGGGCAAACTTAGGTCCTCCAGGTATTTTGGACTCCAACTCCCACAATTCCTAACAGTCCAAATACCTGGAGGGCCTAATGGTGTAGATTCACCCATGGACACCAAGAATGCATACACAAATGGTGTAAGAGATGCCATAAGGGAAGTCTATCTAGGATGTGCACAATTCTTCTTATTGCATTTTATTGTTTTCATAGCTGTTACGACACATTCCCTGTGTTTTCTATGTGAATTTGGGGCAGAGCCTGGAAGCTTTTTGGAATTAAGACACGCTCACAATGAAGTTAACTGGAAGCAAATGCCTCTTCCACTCAGCTGAATAAAGTCCCTCATTATCTGCTTTGAACTGGAATATATGGCAGTGTGGACTCAGGGCCCTTCCACACAGCCCATATCCCAGAATATCAAGGCAGAATATCCCACATTATCTGAGTATGGACTCAGATAACCCAGTTCAAAGCAGATATTGTGGGATTTTCTGCCTTGATATTCTGGGTTATATGGCTGTGTTGAAAGTCTTTATTTTCCCTTCTTGCCAGAATTCAAGAAAGTCAGTTCAAACTTTCACCTCCCCTTCTCTGGTATATATCAATAAACTCCTCCAGCAGTGTTTCTCAACTTGGGGGTTGGGACCCCAAGGGGTGTCATGAGGTGATATCAGAGGGGTCACCAAAGACCATTGAAAAGTATTTTCTGCTGGTCATGGGTGTTCTGTGTGGGAAATTTGGCCCAATTCTATCATTGGTACGATTCAAAATGCTCTTTGATTGTAAGTGAACTATAAATCCCAGCAACTACAACTCCCAAATGTCAAGGTCTATCTTCCCCAAACACCACCGGTGTTCACATTTGGGCATATTGAGCATTTGTGCCAAGTTTGGTCCAGATCTATTATTGGTTTGACTCCACAGTGCTCTCTAGATGCAGGTGAACTACAACTTCAAAACTCAAAACCCTTCACCAAACCCTTTCAGTTTTTTCTGTTGGTCATGGGAGTTCGATGTGGCAAATTTGGTTCAATTCCATCGGTGATGGAGTTCAGTGCTCTTTGATTGTAAGTGAACTATAAATCCCAGCAACTACAACTCCCAAATGACAAAATCAATCCCCTCAAATCCACCAGTATTCAGATTTGGGCAAAATTTGGTCCAATGAATGAATATACATCCTGTATATCAGATATTTATATTAAGATTCATAACAGTCGCAAAATTACAGTTATGAAGTAGAAGCAAAAATAATGTTATGGTTGGGGGTCACCACAACATGTGGAAATGTATTAAGGGGTTGCAGCATTAGGGTTTTTTTCTTTCTATGTAATTTTTGATGTTGTTTGTTGTCTATGTTTTTGGTTTTATTCCGCTGTAATATGTTGTCCGGGCTTGGCCCCATGTAAGCCTCTCCGAGTCCCCACTGGAGAGATGGTGGCGGGGTATAAATAAAGATGATGATGATGATGATGATGATTATTATTATTATTATTATTATTGAGGTTAAGAAACACTGTCTTACAGTATCTACTTTCAGTTCCCAAAACACAGACTACACTTTCAATTCTCAAAACACTGCCAGATGCTCTTATCTATGTAACACTCTCCATCTCCTTCCCAAGCTTCCCTCTTCGCCAACATGGCCTTTAGGTCGGGATAAACAAAGCAGCCACTTCCCATGGCTGCCTGGGGCTTCCTGACAGTTTCCAGGCCTTTTGCAAGGAAAACTTACATTCTGATTCAATTGCCTCTCTTGACTTTGGATGAAAATATCCAGTTGAATGTTAATGAAAACATAATCTAGTCAAGTTAAGATAGACATGGACATACATACAACATGGAAAACTCACAGAATTGCAGTGATCCCAGCCGTGAAAGCCTTTGACAACACAAGTTAAGATAGTTTGAAAGAATGGGAATTCAAAAACAAATTAAGTGGAAATTTCATGTAACTTTGCTATGTGGAAACAAATCCACAGCACTAGCACGGAGGGATTTTTCAGATTCCTCCTTTGTGATACAAATACTTTGGAATGTGACCTTGGTTGAGTTTTTATAAAATAGCGTCAAAGGAAATCATTAGACTGTAAGTGTTGAAAAAACATGCTCTCTGCTTTCAAAAAAATCATTAGGATAAGGACATAATTACATATATATGTCATAGTATTGATTTGCTTTAACCAAATCCACTGCATATTTCCAAATGATTTTTTTTACTCAAGGTATCAACTATTGGATATTTATATAGGGAAGGATTAATGTGCCTAATGCCATTTTTCGTCACTCAGTACAGTCAGTCACAAGAGACAAAAGGGGGATATTTGCAAAACTAGGTACAGTAGACTCAGGCGGGACCTACACTGCCATATAATCCAGTTTAACGAAGCACATAATCCACATTTGGATTGGATTATATGAGTCTATACTCTCATATAATCCAGTTCAAAGTAGATAATGTGGCAGTGTAGAAGGGTCCCCTCTTGCAGATCTTTGTGTAGATTTAAGATACTTCATTAGCTTGGCAGTTAGAGGCTGAAATAGAGATGAAGGCTGGACCCAGAATGAATGGGAGATCACATTTTTCTCTCTTGCTAACCTAGGGCACTTCCACACAGCCCAATATCCCAGAATATCAAGGCAGAAGATCCCACAATATATGCTTTGAACTGGTTTTTATTTATTTATTTATTTATTTACTTCATTTGTTGACCGCCGTTCTCAGCCCTAGGGCGACTCACGGCGGTGTACAACATGTAAAAACAGTTTACAATAAGGCAGAACACAACGAAATATCAACATAACTATCAATGTATAACAATAATATAATTACACTAAATCATCCACGCCGTCTCATCATAGAATCATAAACCAATCTCGTAATCCTTATTCCGTTCCAATCGTCATTGCCAATTGTTGTAGCACTTAGTTAAACGCCTTCTCAAATAACCATGTCTTTAGGCTCTTGCGGAATGACATAAGGGAGGGCGCCTGTCTGATGTCTACAGGGAGGGTGTTCCACAGCCGAGGGGCCACCACCGAGAAGGCCCTATCTCTCGTCCCCGCCAGACGTGCCTGTGAGGCAGGCGGGATCGAGAGAAGGGCCTCCCCAGATGATCTCAAGGCCCTCATGGGCTCATAGGCCGAGATGTGGTCAGAAAGGTATTATCCACACTCAGATAATGTGGCATTTTCTGCCTTGATATTCTGGGATATAGGGCCATGTGGAAGAGCCCCTAATGGCACAATTCACATTACTATGTAGGGCACACTTTGATTTTCTTTAGTTATTATCTGCATTATATGTATAGCTTTTGGAGTTCTTCTTCCAAAAATCTCACCCTGAAGAAGCTTTCCATAAATAATAATAATAATAATAATAATAATAATCATCATCATCATCATCATCAGCCCCCGGTGGCACAGTGGGTTAAACCTCTGTGCCGGCAGGACTGAAGACCGACAGGTCGCAGGTTCGAATCCGGGGAGAGGCGGATGAGCTCCCTCTACC